TAAAACAGAGCTCGCACTAAAAAATCAGAACAACTACGCAAAAAGTAAGTATGGGGGTGTTAAGTTTCAAAGTTAGCTGCATGAAACAGCCATTGCCTAAGCCATGCGGCTTGTTTTGACAAAGTTAGAGCTAAAAGGCCACAACAACATATATCACGTTTTTTCTTGATTTCTCTTCGATTGGCATTTAAAAAATGAAATTAAAATTTGAAATCCGATTCTGCATGCGTTATAGCAAAAACGCTGATGGCAGTAGTCCCGCGACATTATAAACTGTGCCATAACAGAGACAGCGGGAAAAAAATAAATACAATCATCCACTTATCGACTTGCGTTGGGTGATATTGAACTTAGCATAAATAAAAGCCAAGAAAAGGAATTTTATCCACTTCTTATATAGGATTTCCACTATAAAACTAGTTCTCTGAAAAACGTTCATCAAAAATTGCAGATCTTAGCCAAAAAAAATTTGTGATAAATAAAGAAATATTTTGAGATATGATTCCTTAAACTTTGTTAAAAGAATATTTAAAAATATTAATATGTTGTTTATAAAAAACTATATTTAAAAAGCTTTAGCCATTCCACTAAAAAAAAAATTACTTTACTAAGGAAATGAGGCAAGATTTGTGCTTCAGCTGAGTTAACTTCACTTGTCCTTTCGCAGCTTCTGACTGGACAATTCTATGGCATCCAGCCAGAGCTTGAGTTCCTCTGGTTTTTCTGGTCGCTGGGCAGTTTCCGGGTAGGTCTTGAGGACCTCCAGCACATTACAGTTGGTGATGTTCTGCTTGGACATGGCCACCGCTCGCACAAAGCCGTCTGAAAGGGTGATGAATTGCTGCTCCAGGTAGATGGCCTTGTCGTCCCACCAGATCAATTTGGTCTGGATCTTGTACGGATGGAAGATGGGGATGGTGCGGCGGTATCGGACACTACTGGCACCCTGGACAGCCCCACCACGTCGGTCACGAATCCGTTCATAAAGCCCGGTGAGGGCGTAGAAATGAAAACGGGCAAAGTCCAATTCACGCAGATAACGGGCATTATTCATGTGTCGGATAAAGATGTCCACATCCTGCGAGGTGCATAACCCATAGATCGTTGTGGTGTCCGTGACCTTGCGCTTACGCTGAAACAGCCGACCAGCGAACACTGTGAACACACAGCGGATAAAGTAGTTTACATCCCAGATCACGTACAAGATTAGCAGCAGCACCAGCCAAGACATCGTGGTATCTAAATGTATATATTCACACTGAAAGGTCGGAGGGGAAAACCCGTTAGTGACAGTGAAAGTTGTGACTACACAGCAAGAAAATGGAATTAATAAGTATTATTATCAGTTCATAGTTCATCTGCCTCTTTAAGTAATTATTTTCGAAATAAGAGTCCTAACTCTTCCTAGCTAGCTTTTTCTATTTTTTAGGTTTAAAAACAAAAAACTTTTAAAAATGTTACATTTGTTAAATGTTTGTTGATATTATTATATTTTGTATTCCATAAATAATTTGGTTATAAGAAGCTTCTATCCAATGGATATTTCCCTGACTTCTTTATTTGTGCTTCAGACTTTGGCGCTGATTTACCGGATCGACAAAGTCCGTTGCCGGGAAAGTCAATTGTATCGGTTGACCCCTTCGCCAAGCAACTGGATACACGTATACTTACATTTGCAGTCGGTCGTTCAGCTCAGCTAAACTCACTAGCAACGTAGAGCGTGACAAGCGGGCAGAGCGGTAATGGCAGTAAAATCGGACAGAGCGGTAGCCAACAACACAACCGTTGGCGAGGCAAGGCCACAGACGACTGAATACCGAAGATTGCAGAGTGTAGGTCGTAGACTGAAGAGTGCCGATTGGCAACGCCGAAGACGACGCAACGCCGAAACAGAAGAAAGCAATCTCTCGAAAGTTACCCAATGCATGCAGTGTTGCCAGCTATGGACTAATTAGTTTGGCTAAAACCGGAATTAAAAATATCAAACAAAAAAATAACACAAATAATATGAATGTAAATATTAGCTATCCGCTATCCAATATTCATTAATTCATTTACTTGAAGAATTTCAAATTTTAAAGTAAAATATAATATTAAGCAATCATATATTATATATTATATCATGGTATTCTATATTCTTTATAATTTCTTAATGGCTACATAAAAAACGATTTGACAACACTCAGCACAAGTAGAGAAGAGGGGAAGCGATAATGAGAAGACAAAGCTAAAAATAATAATAAAGGAATAAAATGCTGATTAGTTGGCTATTTTCGAGTCAAAAGTTGTTGTTTAAAAAAACACTCAAAGTAAATAACAATAAAATTACTATTAAAACAGTGTAGCTAAATAATAGTAAGTAATACAAAATCTATGTAATAATGGCCTTATAAGCATTTTCATTAGCAGGGAAGTATTCATTCATTTTAACTAGGCGTATACAGAATTTAAACATCCATTAAACTATGTAAATTGTTTTTAAGTCATAGTCTTGGCTATAATAAACAATTTCAGGTATTTTTAGTAAGTACAGGTAATAGCTAATGCAGGGTGATTTTTCTCGATTTCTTCGATATTTACCGTATTTCTTTACTCACCTGTAAAGATAATTCCAACTTGACGAACCGATCGATTGATTCCGATGTGTGGGAATCTCTGGCGTGGAGTAATTAGCAAATAGACACTGGAAATTATAGCTATGCGATAAGATGACTGTGATCAGTGCAAACACTAACCATTGAACTGCAATCACCTGGCTGTTTTGTTAACTGCAAATTACCCGAATAGACAAAGTCTCAAAGGGCCGTTGCTGAAAGTTCAAGATGGGGTTTAATCACAAGTTCTAGCCAAGTGATATAAATTCTTAAGAAAATATTTACCACTGGGTTTTCGCACAGCTTAATCATTAGAGTAAGCACAATAGAAGTATTTTGAGATAATTAATAATTAATTTGTTAAAAGGCTTCTTTAACATTTTCTCCATAATATATTTCTGTTCTACATGTTATTTTGTATCTAATCAATGATTGATTGATTTTCTTATATAAAGAGTATTACCTACTATTTTGTACCCTTCTTACAGGAACTGAAGCCAAGGGCCCAAGAAAACCCCTCATTCGATTGCATATTTTCACATTATTTTGTTAATTTTACTAAACAATCATTTTACATCGTAACTTACGCACTGTGGTCTACCAAGGGGCTTTGTTTTTCGATTTTGATCAGAGGGCGTGGCTGATCTCTGGGTAGTTATGCAATACATTAGTTAAGGCCAAAACAGGGCGGGTTTTTGTTTTGTTTTTTGAGACACTTACATACATAGCTTACAATTTACACATTCCACGGTCACACTTAAACATTAAACATTAGCACACATTAACACGTACACACACACTAGCACGCGAGACAAAAAAAAAATGGGTTAATGGGAGTATCCGTTTCCTTTTCCAGTTGCGCGTTCGCCTTCGCTTCCGGCGATTCTAACGACTCCAGTCAGCAGCCGCTCCGAAGGTTCTTACTAGACATGTCATTGTACTCGATCCACTTAGCCAACTCCGGAGGCAGCGATGGCTTTAGCTTCAGACAGTGCGCTGTGGTCGTAGGCGCGGCCCCCGCAGTCGTCGCCCCTCCGGTCGACCCATGTCCATTCTCCGCCAACGAAGTATCCATGGCCGGATTGCTAATACCGCCAGAAGCCGCCGTCGGAGCAGCTATAGAAGGTGATGTCGTGGCACGGAATCCATTGGAGGACGTCCTGGGCAAGAGTTCCGCCATTACAGCTTCCATGGATACGTCGATCACTCGCTGGCGGCAGATAGCGATGCAATGCACAAACTTGTCTGACGGGCGGACAAATCGATGTTCCATGAACAGCGACTGTTCGTCCCAATAAATTATCTGAAAATAACAAAAGGAAATCAGGACTTACACAAGGTTACAAATTATTTAGAATATGGCAAATAATATTTTTAAAAACTGCAAAGTTTCCTTATTTTTGTAACTAATAAAATAGAGGAAACAAAATTCGTTTTATTACAAAAGGAAAATGTTTTTAATAATTGCTTTTTAAACTAACTTGCGAGACAATGTTAAAACGGTGGAAAGGGCGGATGAAGCGTCGGTAGCGAATTGTTGCCGCCCCCTGGAAAACGGAACCGCCCATTCCCGTAATGGTGCGGTACAGATTGGTCCGCTCATAAAAATCCACGCGGGCAAAGTCCAGCTCTCGGAAATAACGAGCATTGTTCATATGATACAACAATGTGTCCACATCATTGGTGAGGCAGAGTCCTAAAATGAGGTTTATAAAAGTAGTAGATCATTCAAAGAAATGGAAGATTCCAACTCTTTTGATTTCAAAAAAATATCCAAATGCACTTAATAGTTATTTATATAAGTTAGAGTTATCTAGAACACTAAAGCAAACAATTACTTTCATTAAATAAATAAACTTTAACTAAACGAGTAGAGCCCACACTGCGTATGAGTGTTAACCTTTAGAGCCATCTTGCTGGCACTTGTACGTATACGGTTTACTCTATACAAAACCGTATGAGCCACTTAGAAAGTATAACAATGCACCAGTCTAAGAATTCATAATTATAGTTAAGCTTTTTGTTGGCTTTGATCTTCAGAGAGTTCTGTTATATTTAAAAGTTATTCTTAAAAATGCGCGGACAGTTTAGATCTTTTTGTTTTGACTCTGTAATTAAACTGAACATAGAATTCTACAACAAGTTCAAAATGCTGTAAATTACTTTATGAATTAAGGTAGTTCTAAGATGGGTAATTTTCTCATTTCTATAAGTAAACTAAATAAGGAACTTGGGTTAGGACTGTGCAGTACTCACCGTTGACCGTGGTGGCGTCAAGGATGTGGCAGCGCCTCTTCACAAACCGAGCGAGCAGGACACAAAGGCACATGCGCAGGAAGTAATGGAGTTCTAGGAGTCCATAAAGCACAACGATGGCCAGCAGGACGCTAAGCGCCAGGTAGCAGAGTTGCTCCATTCCGCCAACAGATTCACTAAGTGGTGGGCGGACGGGCTGGGGCTGTGGTGAGTGGAGCAAAAGGCGCTGCAAATAGAATAGGAGGAGTAAGAGCGGCTCATCAAGACGGCTGGCAATCAAATTGTCAAATGATTGCAATCTAATTAGAATACGGAAGCAGGAAACCAAGCAAGTGCTCGACTAAGGGTTAAGGGTGAGACTTTCGGCGTTCAGAGGTTAAATTTATGGGGGTGGTTTTCTAAGCGCGGTTCTGGTCCTGGCTAAGCTAGCAAAGATGCTGAGCAGAATTAGGTCATGTTTTCGCCATCAAGTGATTTAATTGGTCAGGTCCTGATCCGAAAGACACACACACTAAGCACAGAAAAAAAAAAGAATTCCCTACTTGCACATAACAGATAATTTAAGTTTTCTGTTTTTAAATATTTTTCTTATACATTAAATTTGAAATTATTTTTAAAAGTATTCCCAAATTGTCCCTGTGTATCACAAACACACACTCGCAGAAACACTCGCGCGCGGCCAGGACAACCCCTAATTTGTTGATTCGTGGCTCGATTCATGGCCAGGACAATTGGACATTGGGACATCAGGCCACCCGGCCACTTTCAGTCCTCTCCTCTAACTGTCACTATTACCGCCCCCGAATTAATATTCGATATTTTCCAATAACAGGAAAAACCACTATCACGCGCACACACAACACATTATTAAATTATTAAGCACACGAAAAAAATGAGCAACAAAAAGGTGTTTCATACGAAAATGTTCAAAACCAAAAACCAAAATATGCAAGCCAAACGCCTACCGCAGCGACAACAGCGCACTGAGACTGAATCGCCTTTTTGGCCAAATCCAAATCCGTCCACTGGCGAAAAGTCCGCCGCAGCCTCTGTCGCCGCCGCAGTCGACGCCTGCGCAGCTCCCGCACACACCGCTCTCAGCTGACGTCCTCACAGCTTTCGGCCAAAAAGCTCCGCTGGCTAAGGGTTGAACCTGTTGCCGGTCCCGGTCCATCCCACACCGGCCCCCCTAACAAATATTGGATACTATTGGGTATTTGTAGAATTGAGGGGTATGTTAGAGCCATAATGATATGGGTGACGTGTGGTAATGGAAAATAATATAAGCGATTAGTGGGAGAACATGTACCCAAAACTAGGTGCTAATTATTGAATTTCCATAATTAAAAACACAAATTATAATAGGTAATTTAATGCCTGCACAATCTCAATTAACTGCAATTAGGTGGCTGTAGCCTATTATTTTTCATCTCTAGAAATTGTTGTTTTAAACGTCACCTTTACGAATATTAAATCGAGGGGAATGACATAGAAAAATAATCAGAAATATTAAACTAAAGAATATGTGTTATAGTAAAGGGTAACTAATACGTCTTTAAAGATGATTATCTTGAATCTAGATTGTGAACTGCGCTGTCAACCAACTCAAAGTTGTTAAGATGTTTCTTGAGCTAGACTAGAAATGTTTCCGCTTACTCGGGCCCAAAAAGATAAACAAACTTATATCAAGTACTTAATTCTATGCGAATGGCAAATGCCAAGAATAAACCCACTTGATTTAGCTTAGCTTCGATCGGATCCGTTGAGATGGCCTTTGTTCCGCTAACTCGGGATTATAGCCCTGTCAAGCGACAACACAAATTAGCTGGCTGTAAACACTAGCAGGGCACACGTTGAGCAAATACGGGAAGTTTGCACCCATAAAAATAAAAACAATAGGGAAAAATCAAAGAAACTATTTAAAAGCCTGCTAAAAAGTCAAGTCATTCGCCCACAGGTGTGCATTGATTTTTCTTTATTTTCAGCTTAAACAATTCGAAAAGTCCAAGCAAGTTAAGCTTTAAACTATAACTTTCGTTAGTTTTATTTGTTGTTACTGCAGTTGTTTTTGTTGGGCTTTCGATAGGACAAACAAAATTAGACAAAAGTGATTAAAGTCGTAAGTGCTATGTACAAAGTGTGTGGGTCTCCCAATCCGCTGAACAATTGATATAGGAACCCAATATTCATTCTATATCCTTGCCTTATCAAATATATATCTGGTTTTGTTTATAGGTATATAACACAAGTTAGCACAACGAACGTTTACTTTTCTTTCTTCTTTAAAGGGCTGATTTGAATAGAGGCATATTACTATGCTTGTGTTTATGTCTATATGTGTGGTGTGTTGGGTAAATATAGCTATAGTTAACTAATCTTATACATCAATTATTTATATATATACAGTATGCGTTGCCTTTTGACTTTTGGGATAAGGATAAGGTTAAGGTTATAAGTATGATTAACTGAATAACAAAAAAAAAAAAAGGAAACCAAGATAAATCCTGTAGGCTTTACAGCAGTTGGGAGACATCGGGAGTATATGGACTAAAGTATATATGTAAATAAAGCATGACACGGGCTGGCCTCTCCCTCTCTCTTTCTGTCTTACGTTTTCCATTACCATCTCGCTCTCTCTCCTGCGCTCCTGTTCGAAGTTCGCTTGCTCTGGATTGGATGGTCCACATCAATTAATAAGGCATACAAAAGACACAGACTCGCCACTTGGTCAACACATAACTTTCCGGCTTCTCATCTCTTAGAAAACTAATCCTAGTTGTATCATCGCTTAATTCCAGCTCTTTCACATCTATTCCATTCTTATCTATATCGTTTAATTCAGTTGTATCCTAAACATTCCGACAAACCCCTTTAACAAGGTCTTGCAGTGGCAGGGGAGCAGAGCAATAAAACAGCAACAGCAGCTCCTCAGTTGGTCTTCACGCGACACATCTCTTCAACGTCGCAGTGGTCCACGCTTTTAGCGAAAATACTACGGAGTTTAGCCATCGGACAGAGGTCCTCGTCTTGAGGGCATTTGGGTAGGCGCACCACTCGCTCCTGGTGCATTACTAAAACCTGCGGCTCCTCCTTGTCGCAACTGCAAGGGGGATTCATTATTATATATATATAATTTAACGATTTCATTGAGTATCACTAACTCGTAGCGGATGAAGGCCAAGTTGGTCGCGAAAGCGTCGATTTGGCTTGTGCGCCAAAGACGTTCGCTGGCAAAGTGCTTGTGCGTCAGCGGCTTTTTGTCCCGGGCCAATCCTAGGTGGGCCAGCAACTTAAGAAGTGTTCCCGAGTGCGTGAAATACAGCGTGGCGTTGGCCCGCCGAGGTAGCTCCTCCTTTTCAGATGAACTGCAAAAATATATATCAATTTTGAGGTGCTTGTATTGCCAAACCTTTATCTTGTACCACAAGTTAAGCGGAAGAATTATAAAAGAATGGAATCATTTCGATCTATTTCAATCAATTCAATCAATTTCAATTGAAACTAGTAAAATAAATTAAATATTACATAGTCTGCCCTCACCTGATGGCCGCAAACATATCTGCAATTGCCGGACAGGCAATGCGATGGGTCAGTTCGTAGCCGTAGCCATCGTTCCAATAGTATTCTAAATCCTCAAAGAACTCCAGGGCGTCTAGGGTGGCCACATCGAAGAAGTTACACCAGACGGAATCCGATGAACCGGACCCATGACGCGGGCGATGCCAAGCTGTCTCGAAAGCGCAAACCGTATACATAAGCTGGACGTCCTCCGGCTGAAGATCCGCTATTCTTGTGCTGCTCCGTACCTGCTCCACTGCTGACTCCATCTGCGGCTCCGCAAGGAACCTGCGTGCGTTGACCAAGGTTTCGGGATTCTTATCGACGTCAATTTTCCATTTTCCACAGCCCTTATAGAACTGCAAATATAAATGTGAATTATCAATTAGTAAAAATTCTAGGCTACACTCTAAGAACTTTAATAAGCAATATGTGAAATAAATAAATCTTATACATACTTCTTGCTAATTTTTTATCTTATTATTGATTACTACCTGGGGTGGGGCTGTAGATGGCCACCATATTGTCCACAAAGCCCACTGCCAGCTGCACCTTGTACGAATGAAACGACAGCCAGGTGGGATGTCCGATCTTGGGTCCAATAAAACCCTCGTTCGTTCTTAGCACCTTCTGCACTCGGCCGTCTAGCGAGTATATTCCGATCTTGGAGGCATTTCCGCAGGCCACCGTGTCCGCTATCTGGTGACTAGCAATGGCCGTCACATCACCACCAGCGTCCCACTCGTGCAGCACATCACTAACGCTATTGGGAAACTGGCTCCCCCGTAAATCCGCCACGCTAATCCGACCTTCAGTGCAACCGGAAACCAACACCGTTTCGTTGGCCCGCATGCAAGCGTGTAGAATGGGAGCACTGTGGCGTCTGTATACAGAGATCCGTGCATCCTGCGGCGAACATCGTTTGTCAAACAGGCGCACACTACCGTCGTCACAACCGACGAGGATCACATCCGATCGCATGTTGGGCAGGTAGGGTGCCAGAACCCGGGCACAGGTTTCGCTGCGACCTAAAGGAATATCCGCCAATTTTAGCTCCCTCTCCACGTCCCAGATGCGAATAAATCGACAGCCTCCTCCGCCTATCACTAGGTTCTGGCTGCACTGCTGCCAGGCAGTCACAATGCTCCCTGTGCCAGATCCACCCATCGAGAGTCCCGACACGTCCGTACCCTTGCCAATGCTTCCGCCAGAAGCCATACTACGCTGACGATAACCAGTCTGATTAACCTGCCCCAGGGCTGTCCAAGCTGTCACTAAGCGGGCCTTGCTGGGGGAATCCTCGGAATTGGCAGAGTTGGCCGGCGACGAGGATTGCCAGACTCTTACCACTCCGTCTTCGTGTGCCACTAGGTTGAGCGCCATATCATGAGCATTGATGAACTCGATGCTACTTACGCGAGCAAAGGGGGCGGTGGAAAATCCACCACAGCCCGATTTCCGCGGAGTACTGCCATTGAGAGAAGAAGATGATCCAGAACCCGATCCATACCCGGAGCTAGAGCCAGTGGAGCTACTTTCAGCTAAAGCATCAGAGCCGTAGGTGCGCACCGAATTGTACTGGAAGTCGTACACAAGAACCTTCTCTCTGTAGGCTACTGCAATCTGTGGCTCATATGGTAGCAGCTTCACAATGGAGGGCGTGAACTGTGTCTTTCGGTTCCATACGCACACATCGTAACCAAATCGATCACTCTGCTCCTGGTGCTGGCGGCGTGCATTCCGACGAATATAATCGTTTTTCAAGAAGCGCAATCTTCTGAGTCGCAACTCCATCGAGTTTCGGTCTACTGGGTAACGCTGGCGTCCCTCCTCCGCCACTCCCTCAGCACTGCTATAGCGCTCCTTGCCGGGCCGTGTAAAATAGGAAATGGCCCAGTGTATAAACTCGGTCGTTACAATGGGTGTGAGGCTGTGTCCAGGCTCCAAGTACTGATTGCTCTCACTGCCGCTGCTCCGCGCCGAATGGGTACTCTCCCTCGGTCCGCTGGGCAATCCTAATCCAGCTCCAGCGCCTACTGCTCCTCTTGAGTATGCTGGTCCACTGTCAGTCTCATCGTTTATGGAGCTGGTCCGCAGCTTGCGCTGCAGGAGAGTCTGAGGATCTCCTACAGCCACGCCGCCTCCACTGCCCGATAACCGCAGCTTTTGGGCCCAGTGGCTGGCGCCCGAGGCTGCTGCACCGACAGGAGGTGATTCTCCAGCAGCCCCGGCTCCTCCTGGTCCTCCGGTGCCACCCAAGTAATTAACCCTTGTATTCGGACTTGGTGGCAGGCTTACACTCAAACTACTGCATTTCTCCGAGGCCGTCGCCATCGTGGCTTCCTTAGCGGCCATAATAGGACACAAAGCCGTATCCCTCACATGATCAACAATCTCTTGAGCAATGGCTGCAACACGGGGAAACGGATCCTGGGCCAGATTGCAAATGCCCAGCCACAGCTTGGTGAAGATCGACTGGAAGGGTATGCTATTAGTGCCTCCAGCAGCTCCTGCTGCTCCTCTTCCGCCGGAGCTACCAGATCCACTCTTTGAGCGACCCAAAGTGTTGCCGGATGACCCAGCACCCGAGCTGGTTGTAGCACCGCCCATATTGGATATGGAGCTGGAGCTGGCTCCTCTTCGGATGGTAACATGACGCTCCAGGCTATGAGTAGAAGATGTCAGATCCCTGGGATCGCCGCACATCACAAAAGAAGCGGCGGACGCATGGCCTCGCATGTGCTCTGTTAGATAAACGGCCACAAACTGAGACTCAAACAGCAGGACCATCCATTGCAGAGCGGCAGCCAACTCCATGCGTACCAGCGGGGACATATCCTCACCCACGGTCTCCAGCATGGTAATGGCAATGATGCGATCAATGTTATTGGCCTGCTCCTCGCTGCGATCCGTCACAGAGCTAATAAATGTGCCCAATGCGAATACAGCAGCGGCTCTCACTTCCGGAATCGAGTCCCGCAGCAGAACGTACAGTTTCTCGTGAGCCAAATCTCGGGCTCCTGACCATCGCGCCTTCTCAAAGTTTTGCCACAGCATGCCTAGGCAAATGGCAAGCCACTGACGCAGCAACCAACTTCCGTCGTTGAGCTGCTCTAGGCAAATAGACAGAAGCGGGCCCTGCAGGGCGCTAGTTTGGCCCAGCAGAAAGTTGTGCACAATGGAGGACAATACGAAGGCGGATAACGTGCGATGCTCCTTAGAGACGGAGGTGTCTTGCAGCACGGACAAAAAGTACTTGTACTCCTTGACCAGATCAACCTGGCATGTTGGATCCACAGCCAGAATCTTGGCCCAAATGAACACCAAAACTGGTCGCAACTCACGTGTGGAACTCTGTAGCAGCTTAAGCACATAAGGAAATATGCCGACTCCTAGGGCGAGATTAACGGCCCAAGGACCCAGATCCAAGAAACGTGCCAGTAATTCTAAGGCTCTCAAGCGGTGCACCTGCGATAGAAGCACCTGCAGTACAATGGGCAGCTGCTCCGGTGGCGTTCTCGACTCCGATTCGCTATCTAGCCAAACTTGGAAAGCCGTTAGCTGATGCTCGAAGAACGGCAGCTGGCGATAAGGAGCATTGTGGTCGAGGATCTCGGGTAACTGCTGCAGGGCCAGATCCACCACCAGATCCCAGGCCTTCCACATTGGATGGCGATAGCAAGGGGGCAGGGCGGGTAGAGAAACTGGTGTACAATCGTGACTACGCAGGATGCGTTCGGCCAGCAGGAAGTTGCGGAAAAGGCTAGCTACTAGCAGGTCTTGACGGAACAGACGCTGGAACAAATCGCGGGGTAGCGTGTTCCACGCTATCGTGTCCGTAATGGCGGTAAATATCCAGTTCAGCTCGCCCATCATTGTACGTCGATCGTTGACCTTGCCTATTGAAAGATTTACGAGTTAGAAGGAGTCTGTGGAAAGGTAAAAGGGTTATCTCACCTGGTATCTTGTCGATCAGCTCGCTCTGGATACGAGGCACCATGCCCAGCTTCTCCTGCATGGCGTACCACTTGAGGGCGATATTTATGGGTGTGGTCAGGCAGCTGGTAAACAGATCCGCCGGCAGCTGGGCATTCATGGGCAGAATTTCGTTAGCCGCACAGGCGGCCAGGTGTATACAATTCTTGTAGCTGACCATCTGGTTGGGCAGCTGTACCTGATTGCCGGCTACATTGGCGGCGCCACCTGGGCCGCCTGAAAGTTGCTGGACCCCACCCCTCTGCTGGGCGGCGACCAGCGCCTTCTCCAATTCGTGTTCATGCTGTTCTGCGTACGGCTGAAACGAGTTGATGATGATCCCGGCATTGGAGCAATCGTATACGTATATCGAGGGCGCCGACATCCAAGTAATCAGCTCGAAGATGCTCAAAGGTATGTACTGCGTAAAGGTCTTGTTGAATACCCAGATCTCACCATTGGTCGTTGGCTTGGGCACCCCATGTCCGTTGTAATGGAAGAGTATACGTTCTCCCTTGGCATTCCGCCGAAGAGAGGTGCACAGTTTCTTAACATCCTCCACGGTGGGATCGTGGCACTTCTTGTATCTGGCCCTTGGCTGCCAGCGTTCGTACTGCATCTGAAGGTTACTACCAATAAGTTCCATGGCCTTAGGTGGCGACACTGAACTGGGATCTATCCAGCACTCTAGTCGAGAACATGGCTGGATCTTGACCACGTCGGGTGGATCTACGCCTATATTAAGACACAGAACCAGGGCCACGCTGGCCGTCTTCATGCGCTCACGGATGCGCCAGTGCTGCCGCTCGTAAACCATGGCCTGAATGCGTTCTTTGTGCCGCTTTGTCTGCAGGGAGAGTGGACACCTGTCGTCACGTATGCGTTCCCCAAAGCACAAGTTTTCCGTGGTCAGCTGAGGCTTTATATTTTGTATTCGCTTCATTATCACGTGGATGCAGTTGTCCCGGGGCCACTCCTTTCTAATGGTTTTGTTCAGATCCCTAAGGCAAATCAAAGAGACTTGCTCGTGGCTGTCCGTTGCCAAGATGTTGGTTAGTTGTTCAATGTGCTTTACAATCAGAAGAAGTGAGTAGTCGGGCGGCTTTATGTTCCTAACCAACTCACGCAGGGCGTTTAAGGAGTCCTCTTGGCAGGGTTCTCTACCGGTGGCCACCTGTTCCTCCGAGTCAGCGGATTGACTGTATTCAATTTCCTCCAGTGTCTCCATTATCAAGAGTATAGGATCGTCCCATCGAGCGTGTATGTAGTTTTCGTGCCTCTTCTGTAGTAGTGAGCGAAGGGCGGCCAGAGACTCTGTCATTTGACCTAAGGACAGCTCCTGCTTGGCAATGCTGCCTTTGCTGTCGCTGTCGCCACCACTGCTTTCGTCGACTACGACGCCGACTGCGGCCGACTTAGCGCGAACGGCACTTGCCATGTTTTGCGTGTTTTCTTTTCTTTTTTTTTTTGTGAGAGTGCTCTGCAATCCGAGTGATTTCCCGGAACGATTACGTCTCTGTTGCGGATCCAACCAGCTGAAAATCCCCCCGCGGGGACTCTAACACATAACCCCAAACACTTTTCGCACTTCGCTCTCCACTCCTCCTCCTCGCCACGGCGCTTTTCTTTCCTCGTTCCTCTTCTCCACGTTTTCCGCCTACGGATCGCGGCCCATTTCCCGAATACGGTTAAATAGAACTCGGAGAAAACACGCCGCCTCGCCGATTAAATTGCGGGTTGGCCAAAATAAAAAACATACAACTTTTACCGGCGATTTCGAGCATAAGATTATGCTGGTTAACTGTTTATATACTTGCAACTGCGTTTATTTATTTATGTTTAATCGAATTATACGAAAAGAATTACGCAGAAAATAAAAATCGATGATTATTCGATACCATCAATGTGGTCACACTGACACGCAGTTTACGACTTCGATATCGATATCACACTCAACATTTCGTTACAAAAATGAGTTTCCGGCGTTGCCAGATTAATGCGAGGATAAGGAAGGCGCGCGTTTTTAATTTTTTAAACAAAAATTATAACATATGAGGTTACAATACTTAAATCACAATGAAGTATAAATAATGAATTTTGTATGATACAGTTTGGAGTACTATGTCAAAGGACTACTTACCCGTAAAATAGGATCTTCGTGCAAAGGCGGCGGATATCTTATTGAACGAATGCGATGACGTCCAAATAAGCCCGTGGCAAAACTCTCTGCACTTTTTAGCGTCCTCTGTGTTGCCGTGTACTTAAAGTAATACCACTCTGGGCTGTACAAATCCGGAAGTAGATCTGGAAATCGACGCTGCATTCGTTCTGCCAGCTCAATCAGTTCATCCTCGCCCTCCGCCACCAGTAACTTTTCATCTTCGGTAGCATTAAGATGATTCCAACTCCATTGCCTTAACTTGTTTTGTTCAGCGAAGCAGATCGGCGAATTTGGTTGGTCTAGAATAAGCTTCTTTATCTCGGAAAGACGATTTTGGGCCTGGAGAATAACGGATTCACTGGGATTTCGAGTTCCATGTCGAATAATGGACCAGATTCGCGTCGGATGGCAACCTTGTGAAACGGATAAAAGAGAAAAATCAGCTGTTTTAGCAGTCATGTGTTGGTACAGTGAATGCCGGATGAGATAAACTTATGCTACTTTGTAGCATGTATATAACAACATTTTTATAGTTTCTCGACTTTTCATTGCCCCAAACTTTTTGTTTTTGGTGTGGTGCCGCATAATTGAAATATATACACAAATTTTTAAGATGTTTTTGTATCGAGCGTACACTGTCACCACCCAGCTGAGACAACAGATGATTTTGCGGATGCCCACTGTATGCGTGGTACAAGGAAAACATGAATACAAACCGGCAAATTGCGGCGGCATGTCGTCGTAATTGGCGATCGCTCTGTAAGGCGTCTTTGTTGACAGTCTGCCCTCGATATCAGCGCGATTAAGACGGCGGCACTCCTCCTCAACACACGACACTCGTGCGAAGAAGTGAAGGAGTAGCAGCAAAAACAAACAGCAGAATTGATTTAGCATTTTTCCGGGAGGGTAGAAAAACTTGTCACTAAAACTAAGTTAAAACATGGAATCGAATCAAAAGACGAGAGTAAACGAAAAATGCTAAAAAAATAATCACGAAAGTAAAACAAATTGTCAAGTGTGCGAGTGTCGAAAGGTGGCAGCACTATCACAGAAGTTCGTTGTCTGGCAACGTCAGAGACAGGGCTGGCAAAAATAATCGTTCTTATCGTAGCTTGGCGCCGTTTTTAAAGAGTATTTTAATAAAAGACTTAAAAAATATATAAATTTACCTTTTCATGTTCATTTTTATAAGCTATTTATTTGAGAAAAACATCTGTTTTGCCAGTATTGATTTTTTTTTTTAACTCAACAAGTGCTCTCTCAACCTCATCGAGCTTTCTGCCACAAAAAGCTCTGTTTTAACCGGGCCGGTAAAATCGGTGACTACAAATGTTTAGTCGCACACCAAACAGAAGACGCAAAAGCAAAAGGCGGTTGCCAAAGGGGGAAAAACAAAGACCCCATCAAAAATATAACGTAAAAATTCGAAATTCCAAGGGCATTAAGAAATTAATAAACATTTCTTTAAGACCGTTTTGTTTGGATGCAAAGTTTTGTTTTGAACAGTTTCGGGAAAATTTGTGCTCCTGGGGACCTTTTTTTGGCTGCCATATGGGGCCTAAGAAGTCGCAACCAGCCAATGTCAACAGGAAAAAAAGGAAAAGCAGTAAAGCACGTGCCGTGAAAGGTTTTGCGCCAAAACTAGAAGGCCAGGTAACCGGTATCTCGGTGTCGTTGTCCTTTAACGATTTTAGGATGGTGAGGGGCCAAATATAGGCAGTATACGCTTATGATTTGTGGTAGCAACACACGCGATTCCACAACAACAAAAATTAAGTCCCTTAGAAAGAAATTTGCCTTTTTTTTACGAAGTGCACAGAAGTAGGCCACTTAATATGATCAGTCCCAAAAATTGTGTTTTAAAACTCTTTTATAATTATTTATTTATGCATTTATTTTAAATGCATTTATTGATATGAAGCTAGCCCTATAGAAAAGCAAGGTAGCTCCACTTTCCTCACAGTGTAATTACGCCACCTGTTGGGCACCCAGTTTTTGGAGCTTAAAGCGCGTGTTTGGAAACTTTCAATCTATTTTTGTGAGCTAGGATAACAATCAGCTAACGAAAATCGATCAAATTATGGGTTTTTAAGGGTGATTTGGTAACGTTACAAGGCGGAGGAGTTCCCACCTCCCTGACATACCTGCCAATGTATGATCGTTGGGGAATTTGTGGACAGGGACCGGGGACAGGTCTTCCATCAATCAGCGAAATCGAATGGAGAACGCAATTTCAACGATTACCTGCCGCATTAAGTGGCCAAAACAAGTGCCTCAATGGGCGGAAAAGTGGGTGTTGTGGGTTGTATTTTCGGATGAGGAGTGGGGCCGGGGTGGTGGTTTGGACAGGGGGAGTGCTCCCTAATCTGCTAACTTATCGGACAGGGTGGTAATTAATTTTTTTCGGAACCCATTGACAATGACACGATGATCACGCACTGATAATGCCAACGCCAATGACCAGCGGTTGGGAGGGGATGGTGCTGTTGGTTCTGCGGGTGGTTCTTCTACGGCTCAGAGGTGGGTGCTTCAATTGGTGGGTTACAGCGTTATGATGGCTGTCCCAGACAGCCAAGTGAAAACCGCAAAAAAAAAAAAAAAAAACAGAGCCCCGATGAGACTGCTTTGTGTGTGGAACGTGCCGAATGGACTTCCATCGGTAGCTCCTCTAGTACTGCCATAGTAATCAGTAAAGGTAACAGGAGAACGGCACCACCTGCCAGGTAAACAGCGGTGTCTGCACCACAATTGGGTGGCTAATTCATCCGTTACTAGTTGCTGGGCTAAATGATATCCTATGCAAACGGTTAGACTAGTTTCAATTTAATGACTGTATCATTAAACAGTAAAATGATCCCTGTTTGGGTTATAATCCTTACAAAATAGATATCCCTGAATATATTTTATGAATATTAGGATGATTTTTAATCGATTTTAATAGAACTTAAAAAAACATCCACATTTTAAAAATTCTCTCGACCTTAATTGCTTTGGGATATTGAAGAATTGTCTAGTTCAATATATTGTATCGGATTCCATTACTACAAAGTTGGCTAATCTAACTATTTGTTTTAAATCTCTCGAGGAAGTCTGTGTTCCAATGCATCGATACTTTAATGCTTGACCATCCATCCGACACCAACCCCTCTTCATATTATTTTATTTGGGGCTGTGTAACCAACTTAGCATTAATTTAATATACACCTCTGGGGTGTCACTGCCATTGGCAATACTTTGTTCGCTTTATTGTTGTTGGTGTTGTTGCTGGTGTTGCTGCTGGCGTTGACGACAACGTCGACAGCGACGGTGGCAGCGACGGCGACTGCGACAGCGACTGCTTAAAAGCTAAGGACACCGCATCGTGAACGCTCAGTTGGCATCGAAAAGTCGCCTCGCGCGGCGGCAAAATTCGTATTAACAAAAGACAGAGAGAGAGCGACAACACTAGATAAGCGCGCACCCACTCGCACTCGCTAAAGAAACGCAAATGACATCGAGCGGTTAGTTCAAAACAACAAACAAATCGAATCAAAGTCGGTGAAAGTCGTAAAAGACATTAATAATAGAAACAATAGAACCAAACAAATAAAATAAACAAGAACGGTAACCCGCGACGTAACAACAAATAACAATAAAACTAAAGCCAGCAGCGCGACAAAAAAAGTAATGCACAAAGATATTATTAAAAGTATAACAAATGATAAACACTAAAGTGCACAGAAAAAACAATCTGAAGATAACAAATAATAAATTTGAAATGTTAAATATGATTGATAATGTTTTCGTATAAGACTTCCAAAACTTTATTTTACTAAATTAAACATTTTTTTCTGTGCTATACTCGTATAAGAAATGTTGAAGTTGCAAGAATAAAATTTGTAATCCGGTAAACATTAGCTATTAAACATTTGAAAATCATTTTAGAAATACCAAGAAATACGTTTTTTTTTCTGTGCCATTATAAAATTTAAAAGTTTTTGTTTGGTCTGTGAACCAGCTGCGGTAATACGATGCGAATTTAACGACGGCCGCATTAATTTATTTTAGTTTGTCTCGCTCCGTTCGAGTTTCTATCCTCATCACCGCCAGTCTTCTCTGCTTCCTCCTCATATTAAATATATATATATATATATATACGAGTATGTACTATAAAAAAAAATATAGCGATCAACATCGGCGTTTCGCATTTCACGTGGCCCAGCAAAGTACCCAATTTTAGTAGCCAACGATCGCCGGTTGGAAATATTGTGAATATTAAATATTCATAAGCGTCACGAGATTTTAATCTGGACCTCTGATGGGCTTTCGATCTGTCATCTGCCATGAGATCAAATCGGCCTGGCTTGGAGACAATATATATTGACAATATATAGTCCGCTGCCGCATTCGGCGTCGCTGCCCACCGCAGCTGGGTTAACTAGTTTCGAGTTTTGCAAAATTTGCCGCGCATTAATCCGAGCTTTAAGTCACAGTGGATATCGGTTAGAAACTAAATTTGAATGTGCAAATTAACAACTGATCTTCTTTTTTTTTTAACAAAGTTTTATGTTGTGAACTGTGCATAAAACTAAAGTAATATTTTAGAAGAAGACGTTCTTGTTTTTATCACACAAACAGCGTAAAAGTGAATTCTTTAGGAATATCTAAAAGTTTTTAACAGGTTTACTAGTCCCATAAATTAAATGTTTATTTGCTTTTTAAGTATACTCATTAAAAGGTATAAGACTGCTATTAAAAGCAATCAGTAAGCTGATAGTTTTATGTTGCTTTTTTCAAAGTTTATAAACAAAGTACTAAAAGTGATCAAGAAACTTAAGGCTCATAACATTTTCAATTTTAGTCAGATTTTCAGGATTTACATCAACAAAAGCGTGGCTTTTAATTTTCTGAAAATCTGCATTCAAAGATAATTTTATGAGATTTGATCGAATGTTTCAAAATTTTGATGGTGATACCCCTTTAAACATTTTCAAAAAATGGATCAAAAATGTAATATTTATGGTTTTTTTGCCAGATGAAAATACCTATAGAGCTGAGCCTCAGGAGGCATAACATTTAAAGATTGGACTGTCTTTAGCCAAGTTAGGGGCAGTTCAAGTTCGTTCTTGGAAATCCAAAAGCATAGAATGTAGCCCTTTGGCTTTTAAAAGATGATCTAAGAAATATGGACAATTTAAACATAGCCGCTTTACTTATAAAAGTGGCTTTTATTAATAGCCAATGCTTACTGTAATCCATGGCAGAACAAACTGTTTGGCTTTGCATCTCCTGCTGAGTTGCCGGCTGCGATTGCGCGAAAAACACGTTGGCCCTGATCACACTTCACAACAGCAACAACAACTGCCTACAAACGGCAACAACAACCACTTGACCATATCAACAAAATGAAACCAAGAACAACAACAGTGCTCAGGAGATGATATCAGAAGAAGATCAAACCTTTTCAAAATATCCCAAGAACACACTTCTGACAAGAGATAATCGACCATAACTCCTGACAGTTATTTTCCCTCTCCATTCGAAGGGGCTCGCCCCTTTTTTGCGTTGCAGAAACAACAGTGAATACTCGCCACGCAAATTGGACTGTCATTTGACCACATTTTTATGGTGGGAGATCTGGTTATGTCCGGTGTTCGCCGGTATCGCTCTTAAGTCTACTCAAATATCTCATAAAATTACGAAAGATTCGCCAACAGTGGAGCAAACTTCTTAGAAAAAGCTAGGAAATTAAATCCCCTTTCCATGTCTATTAAAGACTCTTAAAATAAAACTTACTTAATATTACCAAGCACCACATTTTTGATATTTCCTTACCTTATTGTTCCTTTGGATTTTTGCCAGTGTCCTCGCCGCTGATGCTGCCAGCGTCGCCGCCGTTGTCGCTTTAACTGCGAACGGTCCGCCGTCCGCTGATTCGCTGCACCGCTCTAACTTTCCGCCTATCGCCGTTCGCCAGAGGAAGCGGGCAGACTACAAGTCAGGTGCCCGATAAAAAAAAACCATAAGGGGCGGCAACATGTCGCAGCAACATGAGGCAACAACAGTCGCCGCAGGAGCTCCTGTTTCGCTGCACTTGGAGAAGCCTTTGAACAATGGCTACCTGCAGGCGAATGCGCCTCTGGAGGAACTGAGTGCCACCGTGGTGTCGCCGCTTTTGGGTCAGCAACAAATGCAACAGCAACAACAGCAGCAGCAACAGCAGCAGAATAAGCTGCCCACTGTCGTATTCCTGGCTCCCGATGGCAGTGGGGGCGTGGGAATCCAACGTGGTAATCCGACGCAGGGTAATCCCGGCGCAGGAGCGGTAAGTGTTGGGACTCGGGGCCACAGCGACTGGCTGCTTAAGGAATCACAGCAGCGGCGCCGTCTCCTCATCCTGGCCATTGCATTCACCGTTCTGGGAGCGGCCATCGGGGCACTGGCCATCTACTTCGCCAGCGTCCACCAACGATGCCAACTTTACCGCCTGGAGCCAGGTAAGATTTAACTACAGATTTGTAAACATAAAAAGTTCTCATTAATAGAGGCAATGAAAACGAATTATGCTATCAGATTGAACTCTATTATCACTCAATTTATAAAAATTCTATCTATGGCTATCTACTGGTATTTGATTATTCTTTCTATAACGAAATTTCCAGGTGTCATAATGGAATTTCAGAAGCACAGAAACCTAGAATTAAAAGTAATCTTTGCATATGTATGCGGGAATTACGTTTGTCTAACACATGAATTATTAGTACATGACACATGCCAATCTAGGAAATTTGACATTGGCTCAATTTTCATTGCGAGCACTTAAGTCATCAATCATGTTCGGCAAAATGTTGGGAATTAATTTACTTGGCTTTAAGCTTCAGAGGCCAAATCACTATCTAGAGAGTCTGAATGGTAGTGGCTCTCTGGCTAAATCAGAAACAGCGAGATAAATAAAACTGTCTTACTGATTTCCTTCTCAAAAAGTGTTTCGGATTTGCTTTACCTGCTGACAGGACGAAGTGAAGGCTTACTGAGCCAACAGCCAATCAACAGGCATCCTGTGCTCCTCCTGATTCATCTGCTTTTCCATTCCATTCGCCTTTCTGCTCCTCTGTTAGCCACCAAGTAGGCATGTTAACTGAATTTAGCGCCTGGCCGCTGGTTACTCAAACAAATGGAGCAAAAACTCAATTTCCTTGTCCTGGGGAATAGCGCGCAACAGGCTGAAGGCTGCCATCATTGGACTTGGTGGATGTCGATGTGGTTGTGGTTGTGGATCTACCAGAGTGTTGTAATCTCCGTCCTGTCCTGCCCTGTCCTGGCTGCCCTGTAATGCGCCTTGTTTGAAATTCAATTACAGAATATGTCAAACAACCAGCACCAGCAGGAACAACAACAATGACGGCACTCGCTTCCTTGCCATTGCCTTTCGCCTTTTTGTGGTGCGCAAGTTGTTCGCACCACAGTGGGTCAAGATGCTTTGTTACTGAAATACAAAATAATATATTTTTATTCAAGGTGTGGCAATAAGGTATTAATGTTAGTTAGGCAAAACACAATTGATAATCACACGAAGGAGAAACAAGAAAAATGTAAAAGTCTATCTATAGAGATACTACATTTTCTGAGATATTCTACCACTGTTTGCCCATTCATTTCTTATCTTGTGTTATCTGGTAGTATCGGGGCGAGTGGTTAGGTGGAGCTCCACACTCTTCACTCCCTTTTGCATTTGTTGGGCAGCACATGGAATAATGCGATTCAAAGCAACTGAAATATTCAAGAGCTGCGAACCGGAGTGCTCCTTCGAAGGATGTCTGTCCTGGCATAATTTACATGTTCTCGTGTTCCCTCGATTACAGAAAACCAAAAAAAAAATAAAAAAAAAACCCCAAATACGAACGAAAAGCAATCAATCGGCACTGCCTGGGATGTCTATGAATTTTTTAACGGCCGTTCCAATCGATCGCGTCTTCTTCTTTCAGCTCCTTATGCTAATTGAATATGCACACACATAGTCCCTTCACCCACACCCTAACCGACCATTATTCTGTTTATATTTACCGTGATAAAACGTGTTTTCAATATTTTGCGCCAAAAATTCATTCATCGAAACCAGAAAATACACAGCAGCAGGGCGTCCGAAGGGCAGCGGCAGCATCAAAGCCTATTCCTTTTTTTAAACCATTTAAAAATATCTCTTTGGCGGCATCTCCGTAAATACCCAGCTCCATCATCATCATCATCATCATCACCATTCACCATCATCAACTTGTGGTAGGCCTCTGGCCTTGACTATAATTTTTCCTCCACTTTTCCAATTCCATCCCCTTTTAGCCCATCGATTTTCTCTTTTCTTTTGCATTCAACCTTAAAGTGAGTTAATCAAAAATTTGTGGGAAAAGTATTAAAATCCACTTAAGATCAATATGGGTTTTAAAGATATTGAAATTTCGTACTATTTCTGCATTAAAATCTGTAAATAAAAAAAAGAATTTCCTTAATATTAAAGCACAAAAAGTAGAATAAATTTTGGGAGAAAATATTGTGGGAAATCGAGAGATTCCAAATCGATTGCTTTCGAGCACCACTGGGTTGGCTTTCCTTTACCGATTTCTCTGTGAGGCCATAACATAATTAAATTCCCCCCAGTGAAATATAATTGCTGCAGCTCCTGGACATTCAACCCAAGTAACCAACTGGTCAAATGGCCAACTGGCCAACTTGCCACATGCCACTGGCCACTGGCCACTTGCGGTCCACTTAAACCTATTAACGCCGGGGCAAATGTTATTAGCTGGGTGGATGGTTCGGTTGGCTGAATCGCTTTAATTAATAACTAAAGCTGCCATCTCCGACGCGCCTCCCCTGCGAACATTCCATTTTTATTGACAGCCTCGACAAGGACGACATGCAACATGTGTCCTGTCCAGGCGGCAATCGATGGCCAGTGGGCGGGGTCGAAGGAAGGCAGCCACCAAGCTTAGCATTCCGTTATTTTAATTTAATAAAGCCAACGAAGGAGATGGTGGTTGCGGATAGAAAACGAGTATGAGATTGAAGATGAGGTCGAAGAGGGGAGCCTGTTCCTTGCTCCCTCCTCTTTTAATAATAAATTCAAATTTAATTTACTTGAGTGGCCTGAGAATCGCTTCTCGTCTTGATAAGGTCTTCTACTTTGTCTCCATTTCCCCTCTTAAAACACACACATTGCTCATACGCCGAGTGTGCTGGTAAGAATAAAAATCTGCCAACTCTAATTGCAGGCAACGATGACAGACCGAACGGCAGGTGGAACCAGGATTCGGGATCCGCCCACGAGGGGTTGGAAAGCGTTTGCATGACCCAGGAGTGCGTGAGAACAGGTAAGCTGAGATCCACTTAAAAAAGCCTGTGAGGGAAGGAAGATTGGGGATTTCGGGGAAAGCAAGGTGAAAGTAATCCCACAGGATTATAACTGAAACTAATGCATATGCCGATGGGGGTTAATCTTGATTGCAGAGCTTTTAAAAGTTACAATAATGCAATTGGTATATTGACTGCAATGGACAACCTTTAAGTAGAAATTGCTTGAAATTAATTTAAGAAAATAAGAACCAATTGGGTAATCCAACCATTCGAGGTTCAACTGTACTGTAGGCGATCTGATAGACTATAGAGCGAATATACTCGAATGAGCCGAGCGAAGGGTGTCAGGGCCTTACACAACCATCCAATATGTGCGGTTTTTATTTGAGTTGTAAATTATTTATCAGCTATTAAGATAGCTAAGTGCCCGTTCGGAAGGGGAATGCGATATGGGGGTATACGGGGTGTTCTTGGCCCGGCGATGGAGACCAAAACATCTGCTACTCGTACCCTACATGTCCATTCCAAATGCACTTATGTCAAGAAATGCGGGCAGCCAGCTAGCAACACCTCAAAGTCACTTGCTAAGGAAATTGCCACAGTGATTGACTGGCTGGCATGCCGGTAGATAGATTGATAGATTGATAGATTGATATATAGATAGAAAGCTAGCTAGCTAGTTAGATAGTTAGATACATAGATAGATACACCTGTCCAGGTGCAGGACATTTCCTGAAATATACATGGCCATAATTACCAAGCGATGCAGTCGATTCGTGTGCTCCACTTAGCATACTTTTTGGGGTAAACGTAAGCCCAATTAAGTGATTCGTCCGTAAATGCTAAGCCAAATCTCTAACTGAGTTCCTAATTGAAGTTTTCAGACTGCTTAAAGAAAAATGTCTATGTTCTAAGTCTATGTTCTCTAGATAATAAACTAAAATTAACTAAATATTAGTAGGAAAATACTCATTGTTCTACTAATTTTTCCAATTGATTTTGGTTTTTCGTAATTATATATATTTGCTTACCTTCCTGACACTTCCTATCCCGACATTCCAAAATGCAATTTTCCCTTTCGAATTCCAATTTTTGTAGACAAGAATGAATGCTTAGGAAATGCATAAATCAATGGCTTTTTCTAGAAGTTCCGAAAGGGCTTGAAGGTGAGGGCCGCGCTAATGAATTTCGCAGTTAGTTTTCGGAGATAATGAATTTTGGCTATACGACGTTGATTTATGGATTGGCAGCGCAACCAGTCAACAATGCAGGTCTATCTCTGGATGTGGCTCCTTCTTGGTTATTAGTTCCACTTTCATTTATAACTTTTGTGTGACCGAAAAGTTGCATCTTGGGTGAAGTGGGTTTTTGGGCGGCTTTTCGCTTATCGTAAAAGTTTTATGGGGCGATGATGATTTGTGGGCCAAGTTTATGGTAGGTGTGATCAAAAGGTGGCATGAAATATGACTTTAACGGGGTAAACCACTAATTGCATGCCAGCTGAGTTGTTTCCCAGGTGATTGTTTTTGATTTACTGTCTAATAAACCAGCGTAACCGCTATCATCCGTCCCAACTTAGCGGCTTCCCTGCTTTCGGCCATGGACCTGAACTCCGATCCCTGTGAGGACTTTTTCCAATATGCCTGCGGTACGTGGAACAAAATGCATCCAATTCCAGAGGATCGCAGTTCCATCAGCACTTTTGAGGTAATTTTCAGAGTCGGGGAGAATTTCTTGATGGAATCAAGATTCTAATCTTAACTCTTCACAGGTCCTGTCCGATCAGCAGCAGGTTATCCTGCGCGCTGTCCTTGAGGAACCTATCGATGAACGCGACAACAAGGCCACCATCAAGGCCAAAACCTTCTTCAAAAGCTGCATGGATATACGTAAGTCTAACTAATTAGTTATAATTACCTTTTTTGTCCGACATAACAAAAGAATGGTTTTTAAGTAACATTTTCCCAAAGGATATAGTAACCCAAAGAAGTCTCTTATCATTCTCAGCTCAAATCCGCAAGATCGGCACTGGGCGACTGAAGCAGGTGCTGCAATCCCTGGGAGGATGGCCAGTCATCGAACGGGATTGGAGTGCGCCGGCGGATCTCTCCGTGGAGCGACTGATGGGCCTGCTGCGGCTTAACTACAGCGAACCGGTGATGATCGAGCTCTATGTGGGTGCCGACGACAAAAACAGCTCGGTAAACATCCTGCAGATGGACCAGCTGCAGTATGCGCTGCCCTCGAGGGATTACTACCTGAAGGAGAGCAGTGCCAACGACCGAAGGGCATACCATCGGTATATGACACAGGTGTCCCTACTCCTGGGAGCGGATCCTGCCACAGCCGCCGATGAACTGGAGAAAGTGGTGCTATTCGAGACGCAGCTGGTAAATGTCTCACTGCCGGAGGCAGATCGACATGATACAAGCTTGGTTTATCGCAAGATGTCGCTGCCAGAGCTTCAAGAACTAGTGCCCGAAGTCCAATGGCAAGAGTACTTGCAGGCTGCGCTGGGTCCGGGGATTCCCTTGCAGGAGGATGAACCTCTTGTTACTTATGGCCTGCAGTATCTTACCGAAATGGGCAAGATCCTAGCCAAAACTGATCGCCGGGTAATACACAACTATATGCTGTGGCGACTGGTCATGTCCCTGATGTCTCACATGATCGACGAATATCAGCGGGAGAGGGTGGAATTCCGCAAGATCCTAATGGGCATTCAGTCGGAAAGAACCCGCTGGTCGCAGTGCGTCGAGTGGACCAACAAAAAGCTGGGCGTGGCCGTGGGAGCCTTATTCATCCGGGACAATTTCAACCAGGAGAGCAAGGAGGTGGCCCTCGAGATGATCCACACCATAAGGGCGGCTTTCAACGAACTTCTGGCCGAAAACGATTGGATGGATGACGAGACGCGTGCGGTCGCCAAAGAGAAGGCTGACTCAATGAATGAACGAATTGGCTATCCGGAGCTGCTGACCAATGCCACTGAGTTGGAACAGGAGTACGTGAACGTAAGTGTACGATATGGTATTCTTAAGATCTGATTCCTAACCAGAGTTCCCTTTCGTTAGCTTACCATAGTCTCGGACAACTTTATCAACAATGTCCTTAGCATTCTGCAATGGGAATCGGAGAAGATGCTGCGACTCCTACGCCAACCAGTTGATAAGGAAAAATGGACAACTGAACCGGCGGTGGTTAATGCCTTCTACAATCCGAATAAAAACGATATAGGTGGGTTGGTCGTCACTCAGGTCAAGCCATTCTCACTCATTTAAATTGACCACTTCTTTTAGTATTTCCTGCTGGCATCCTTCAGCCCTTGTTCTACAGTCAACACTTTCCCAAGTCCTTAAATTACGGCGGGATCGGAGTGGTTATTGGTCATGAGATCACCCACGGATTCGATGACAAGGGTCGGCAGTTCGACAAGGAGGGCAACATGATGCAATGGTGGAACAATGCCACCATCGAGGCTTTTCGAGAACGGACGCAATGCGTCATCGATCAGTACTCACGCTACAAGATCAACGAGGTGGACATGTTCATGGACGGACGAATGACACAGGGCGAGAATATCGCCGATAACGGCGGTCTTAAACAGGCATTTAGGGTATGTCTTCTGAGTTCCATAACTCTCCCGGCTTGATTTCTATGTCATATCCAATCCTATATATAGGCCTACAAGAAATGGGAGAAATTGCATGGTCCGGAACAGCAGCTGCCTGGCTTGAACATGACCCATGAGCAGCTATTCTTTCTGAACTATGCCCAAATCTGGTGCGGATCCATGCGGCCGGAGGATGCATTAACTAAGATACGTTCTGCGGTCCATTCGCCAGGATTTGTCCGTGTCCTGGGGCCACTTTCGAATTCGCACGACTTTGCCAGCGCCTACAAATGTCCCCTGGGCAGCACCATGAATCCGGCGGAAAAGTGCAGCGTGTGGTAGTCTGCCGTGGTCGTCGATGTTTTTTTTATATATTTATATCATACTATATAGTATATACATACCTATATACACAATACCAGTACTGTAGATCACCTGCGGCAACAAACAACCCAAGGCGATGAGATTAAGGATCATCATCCGTTCTGTTCCAAATTTTTTATGTAGGTTCCATTTTTTTTTTGTTCTGTTTGTTATGGCGCAGTAATGCATATGTACTTTATACCTGGCTATATAGATTTATAGTGTGTGTTTGTAGCTGTACACAAGTGCGTTATCAAAGAGAGCCCTAAAATCCGCACTTTCCACAACCCTCCTAACCGGCATTATATTCGTGAATAAAGAACAAGTACGGAAATCCAAAGTTTTTCAACGGAATCCATAACTCATATCACCATTTCCAAAATAACTCTTTGATTACTCTCATTTTCTCAGTGCTACTTCGTTAGATCCTGTGAAAGTAGAACTGGGAAAATCGAGGATTTTCTTCATGCATTTTCTTTTCAAATTCTCTTTAATTTATAATGCTCGTTTTTTTGTTTTTTTTTGTTTTTTTGGTTTTGTTTCGCTGCTTTACATAGTATGTGTTCTCAGTATATATGTACGTATCTAGTGGAACCAATCGAACCATTCAAATTATACGCAAAGGACACGCAACGAAATGATTACAACTTGGCTATTGGCTATTTGCAGCAGAGGATAGTGCTTAGTTTCCTATGTCCTTTCCTAAACAATTTCACATTTAATTGGCTTATTTTACTTTGCAAAGAATCAATGGTTTACCGGCGTTATCATTTGTACCAGCATGGGCATGGAGCTAAAAGCAAAATCTGCTTACTTTCGCATTTCGTTAGCCGTTAATGGCTTTTTAATTTTTTTTTTAAATTGAACTTTTTTCTAATTTTGTTGTTGGCTTTGGTTTTCGGTTTTCGGTTTTCGGTTTTCTGTTTTTCAGTTTTCCTTTAAGATTTCTTGTGTTTACCATTTTAATTAACTTATGTTTTTGTAGCAGTTTACCTAATTATTAATCAACAAGAAGAAACGTTCTTTATAGTTGCTTTACGCTTCGCACAAAGAAACAGACACACACAACTAAAACCAAAAACGAATATAGTTTCATTTGGTTTACTTCAAAGCGGCTACATTAAAAAATTACAAAAAAAACGTTCAAAACTACTAGCGCATTAACCTAAAAACTTCATGCTTTCGTTTAATTTTATTTGTATTTTTACTTCCGTGTTGCTTTTTTTTTTTTTATTTTTGTATTTTCGGTTTTCATTTATCAATAGGCTTAAGTAGTTAATTTGTTTTGTTTTTCTTTTTGTTCTTCGTATTTAATCCTTTCTTCTGCCTCGTAAATAGTTTTCAGAATTGCATATTTAGTTACGCGAGGCACTGCTTGCCATCACCGTTACTGCTTTCGCACTGCTTGGTGTCTGTGTTGGTGTGGTGTGGTGTGGTGTATGTAGAGTATGGTGAGTTTTAGTGAGTTTTAGTGAGTTTCCGGTGTTTGTTGAGTTTGTGTGTGTGGTGTGTGCGAGTGTTAGATAGAAATAGGGAGTTGGAGCGTAGAAAGAGATAGAGACAGTATCTGATACATTTGCTATATATAAATGTCTGTATATATATATTCGTAGAGAAAGGCACAGATGAAATTATCGTATAATTAAATTTGTTGCTTCTTCATATTCCTCCTCGCCTTCGACCGAATCGTTTGCTAAGTTTGATTTTAAAGTTTATCTAAACTGGAGAGCTCCTTCACATTATTTTTTACAGTGTGTACAAAGAGTGTAAAATTGTTTTCATTCTTATTTCCTTTTGGTTTTCCTTGAAAAATTAGCTTAGACCATGTTGAAAAATTGACAGTGTTAAGTTAGTGTTCTTCTCGTTTCCTCATTTCCTCATTTCCTCATTTCTATTTTCTTTGTCTTGTTCTAGTTATGCCTTCTGAAGAAATATCTTGATACTCTATTGTAATTCGTTGATAGTTCCATATATACACTATATATAGTCATTAAACATTAATCTTTAAATTTCTACTACATTTCTCTTGATTTTTTTTTATTTTTATTTCCCTTTATAAATGCTACTTTTTAAAGTTCTTCTTGTAGTTCTAGCTCTTGCCATCTTTGCTTTCCTTTTTCTTTATCCGTTTAGGTTCGAGAGTTATATCATATTTTGTATGTATATTTAAAAAAAAAACATCTTGGATACCCTTACTGCGTTGGCACTGTTTTTTTTTTTTCGGATGTCTGTTCTTTGTTTTCGGGTTCTAGAAGTTTGTTTTGGAAGCCTTTAGGGGGGAGATACTCGTACAGAGAGACAGACATTGGGGCTTTAGCAAAGATTGTCGACCAGATCGTAATAGCTAACTGTATGTGGGTTGTGGGTTGTGTGATAGTGTGTGTGTGTGTGTTTAAGTACCTAAGTAAATTCGTTTGCACAAAGTTCATATATTTTTTTGGTTTCCCCGTTTTCCGTATTCTTTTTTGTTGGTTTTTGTTTTTGTTGGGTTGTGTACTCTTGACCCTGGAACAACGCAGCATTTTTTTCGTGTTTTAAGTTTAGGTACGATCTTATGAGCTACAGTTCTCTATTGCTTATCAATGTGTTCGCTCAGATGGCTCTATTTGGTATATCATTCCTTTAGTTTTAACCTTGGCTTAGCTACATACACATACGTAAAATACTCTCGAATACACATACGTTTACATACAGGCCTTCTATATATACAGATAGCGTGTGGTGGTGTGTCTGTTTGTGTTGTTGTTGTTGTTGTTACTGTTTAAGTTTTTAGTTTATGTTTTTTGGTGTCTGCATGGCTTCTCATATAAACGTTTAAACTTTAAGAGCTAATCACAGAGTTGATGATTCTTTGTTCACAAATTTCCATCATTTTTGTTTCGAATGCAGTATCCCTATAAGTAACTGTATATGTAATATAACTGTATATATATGTAAATCGCATATAACACTTGTATATAATCCATCATCATCACCATCGTCTGTCTGGGTAATCATTGGTTTCTTCTTTTTTTTTTCATTTTTTGACTGCTACATTTAAACGGAAAACACTCTAATCAACTTTGAAACTTAGCTATCTTCTCGACTTTCGGTTTTTCTTCTTTAATTTTTCTTCTTTATAGTTTCTCTTCTTCTTTGGTTTTTCTAATAAGTTCTGCCTTGTTAAAGTTATGAAAACCGTAGGATTGCACTAAAAACAGTTGACAATTTAGTTTACTAGCTTTTACTTTACTTTACTTTTCTTTGCTTTCAAGTTTATTTTACTGCTTTTTATATTTTCGTTTATGTGGCTAAGAGTTTTTGCCATTAACCATTAACCATTTACCATTTACCATTTACCATTTATCGTTTAAAGTATAGTATATAGCTAGCGATTAATCATTATTTGTGTTTTTTTTTCTCACCACACTGATCGATCTTTATGCCTAAAGCCTAATGTTATAGTTATAGTTTTTAGAAAATTCCCTAAAGTATTCTTTAATGGCGGCCAGGCTTACGTTACATCGATTATAGAAGTTTCTACTTCAAAGTAAGCTCCTTTCAAGTGTATAGCATTGGAAAAGACATACCCTGGGTGTTTTCCAAAAGTTCGGGCTTTCCATAGCTTGGCAACTGTTAATCAGCTCTACAGTAATCATTATTATATGTGTAATCCTGGCCCTAGTTAGAGATACCTACTTGTTACTAGACAGTGTGTGTGTGTGTGTGTGTGTGTGTTTTTGCATTTAGTCCATGGAGGATTGCGGGGACTTGACCAGAAGAAGCTCTTTATAGTCACTGTCCCTATCCTCTGGCTCGTTGTCCTGATCCTGTTCGGGGTCCCTCTGCTCCCGCTGATCCATGCGCCTCCGTTCGCTGATGATGCGCAGGATGTCCGAGGAGTCGGACTTACTAACTCCCGCTGCGATATCGGGCAGAGGTTTCGAGCTGCCGCCCAGATCTGGGATGTCCAGCGAGCTCGAGGCAATAATTGCCACTGATCCTGGCCCTGATCCTAAACCAGATCCCCCTGCAGCTGTGGGCAGCAGCAGCGAGCTCTCGTCCATGTCAGCGTCCTCGTCCAAAGCCTGCTGCTTAAAGAGCTGCTTGGTGCTGCCACTGCGACTGCGTGGCGGCATGGATCTGGGAACAGAAAGTAATAGACTGCTTCTCATACATCCTTGATCCACGGACTGTGACCATCCAAAGGGTCTTCGCGGTGGAGGGTGTGAAGGATGTGCCGGCAATGGTAATGGCATGGCCATAGGCAAGGGCGTGGGCGTTGCTATGGGCAAGGACATGGGCGGGGGCAGTGGGTTAACAGGGGGAACCAGAGCACTAACCACCGATAGTGATACATCCCCATCCGCCTCCAAGTGCCCCACATCGGCACTGCGGACACTCCGTATATCGTAGGAACCACCACCACCACCCCCAGCGCCTCCTCCATCCGACTCGAGGCTCTCGAAGATCGTGCCCCTCCGACAGTCGAGGGCATCTCCGCCCCAGGGCAGCGAGTCGCAGCTGGTGCGCTTGGCCTCCAGATTCCGTCGTCGGATGGCCTGCTCGTCCAATGAGCGCTCCTTGGACAGCACGCCGCGCTTACGGAAGCCGGCGGCCGCGGAGGCACGACGCCCGCGGCGGCGATTGTCCAACGGCGGTAGCGGGAGGCCGGCCACGCCAACAGCCAGCGGTTCGCCCGTTCCAACGCCTCCCGCTGCCGTCGCTGTGCCGCCGAATGGCTCGCCCAGCCGTGCGCCGAGCGCCTGAGGCGTCAGCGTGCCGCCCATTTCGGCGAGACTCAAGCCGAGCATGGATTGTGGTGGCTGCTGGAAATACTGAACGGTCTGCCGTCGTTGTCCAGCTCCAGATGCCGCAGATACCGCTCCAGAGCCCGCACCCCCGCTCGTTGTTGCTGTACCACCGGCCACCAGATTCAGATTCGTGGCCGCCGAGCTGGTTAGACTCGAACTGGGATTGCCACCCAGTGTGGTTACGATGCCGGTACCACCGGCAACTGGAAACTTCTTGTCCAGCGAGGGTGTACTGTATATAAAGTTCTTTGGTAGCGATTTGACCTTGGCCAGGGGGCGCGGGGGAGCGGCCGCCTTCGATTGCGCCTCCGCCAGCTGCTGGCACAACTTTTGCTCCTGGGCGAATTCCTGCTCGCGCACCAGCTCACGCTCGAGCTCCACCTCCATGTCGAGCTCGTCTTCCATTTGCTTGTGGCTCTCCTCGAGGTGTTTCATCAGTACAGCCACGACGACGTTCACTAACACGAATTGCGCCATCAGCACGAATATCACAAAGAATATGGGAGCAATAACCGAGCTGACGCAGCAATTGCGAACGCAATCGGCCGCGTCATCGCAATTATCCCTCAGCGTGTCCTTCATGATGCCGTTCCAATTATCGCCAGTCGCTACGCGAAACAATGTGAGGAAAGCCATGCCAAAGTTGGCGAAGTGCGCGTGCTCGCCCAATCCCTGGCAGGGTATCTCATCGGAGCACTCGAGTCGCCCGAAAAGCTCCACGCCCAATGCCGCAAATATGAAGAATAGCAGGAAGAACAGAAGTCCAAGGTTGCCCACTTGCGGCAGAGCCTGCATCACGGTGTCCAATAGGGCGCGTATTCCCTTGGCCATTTTTAAGAGTTTCAATACCCTGGCAATTCGCAGGACCCTCATTACTCTGATAATCGTCGGATTGATGGGTATTATGTTCGTTTCCAGTTCTTCCAGGACAATTCCCACTATGGATAGCAGAACAATGCCCACATCCAGCTGATTCCAGCGGTCCTTCAGATACAGTTTCCAGCCCAGGGCCACAAGTTTCATGTTGGCCTCCAGTATGAACACCGCGGTAAAGAAGTAGTTGAAGATCTTCAGGGCGTACTTGAGACCTGAGGGCATCTTGTAGTATTCCATGGCCATGGTGACCACATTCAGGCCAATCACTGCAGCAATGGCCAGATCGAAGTACTTCGATGTCACCACGTTGTGCACGAACATCCTGGTGGGTGAGTAGTTTGTGTAGTACGGTGGCTCGTGCATTCGTCGCCGTTTCTTCTCCATCTGCAGAGCCCTCTTCGCCGCTCGCCGAATCTTCTCCTCCTTCTCCTGCTCCTCACGACATCGATGGAAGTTCTCCACCACCACGCCCACGAACATGTTTAGCACGAAAAAGCCCACTAAGAGAATGAAGGCTATGAAGTACAAGAGTCGCCATTCATTGTAGTTGACGATGGGCTGCTGGTCCACGCCTACGGCATCCAGACCGGTGTACATAATGTTGACCCAGCCATCGCGTGAACTCAGGACGAACAGGGACATCAGGGCCTTGCCCAAATCATCAAAGTTGTACTTGCGGTTGGTCCACACGTTGCCGGGTATACTTCGACACTCGTCCGCATTACGCACGCCCTTGATATTCTCGCCCTCGCAGTAGTAGAAGGTGCCCTTGAACAGTTGAACGCCCAGGATGCCGAAGATGATGAAGAAGGTGCAGCAGATCAGGACGATGTTGCCGATGGGACGCAGGGACGATAAGAGCGTTTGCACGACTAGTTTCAGACCCGGGGCTCGGTTGATCACCCGCAGCGGCCGCAAGGATCGGAGTAGTCGAAACACCTGTAAGGATATTTTTGTTTTTTTTTTTTTTTTTTGGGGAGAGAAAAGAGCAGATGGAAAAGGACGAGAAGAGAAGAGTAGTTGTGGTTGGTGCATCGGCTAAAATGCTTTATCGGCCGTGCCTGGTGAGGCACTGCTTGTTTTTGCGACTTCGGCTAGCGGACGCCAGGTGGCGAGTCACACAAGTGTGCCGCATGTAGTTAAAAGCATGAAGTAAAACGATGTAGATATACTAAAGATGAAGCCAACAAAACTTAAAATATCAACAAAACACACCAGATATGGCCATAGATCAACAAATAAAAATATATATAGATTAACAATAAAGCAAACGAAATATATACAAGCAAAAATTAACAAAAAAATATTCATAGTAAACCATTTTAAAAGTGTTGAAATAGATTCAAATAATGTAGAATTTAGTTATATCAAAGAAACAAATCATTTCCTTTAAATTCAAACTAAAAAGCCGCACTGGTGTGCTGTTACTAATGGAATTACTTATAATGATGATTAATCAAGAATCAAATTGGCTATTAATGGCCTTAAATAATATGAAAATGGCAACATTGCTTGAACAACAAAGCAAGGCGTTCGGAATTGATATTAATGGGTTAATTGGTAGGTAAAAGCACAACAAAATGGACGATTGCATTTATAGCTAGGATGGAGATGTTGTCGCGTTTTCGATGGGAGTGGCATGGGATAGCTCAAATTGTGGCTTAATTCGTATAGGGGCATGACACTAACTGACAACTCTACTCTGACCACATGAAATAAGTCAATGGAAAGGAAATTTACAAACAACCAAAAAAAAGCCAAGAAAGCTGAGAAAGAAAGTTTTGGAAAGAATTATCGTTATTTGTATAGAATATATGGTTATCAAGAATTTAATACTTTTACTATATACTTAATAGCCTTTTAAAGGAAAGTGTCATAGCCCTATTACTTGGAGGTTGTTGTTAGGAAAAAGGGAAACAATCAACAACTATGTACAATACAAAACTCAATGAAGGCGAGTCAACGGATTACTTGAATTATTTTTTGTTTTTCTTTGGTTTTTTTTTGGGGGATTGTTATTTTTTTTAAATGTAATTTATATATATATTTTTATTTTCTTGGGAGTGAGGGGGGGTCTACACACACATAATAAAATGGTGAAAACAAATTGGATTTTCTTGCTGATTAACGCATATAGCAGCGGAAATTTACCTGAATTTTCAGAGAGATATACAATATATATAAGTATATTATATACATGAGTTAAAGATATAGACACGAGATGTGTGTAAATAGAAGATAAAACCAAAATTGGAAATTGAAGAGATTTCAGATTTAATGTTTCATTGAAGAATTTTGAATCATGTGTGTGTGTGTGTGTGTGTGTGTGTGTGTGAGTGTGTGTTAGAGTGTGCGTGTGTGTGAGTGGGTGTGCGCAAGAAAAAGAAGAGCACATAAGAAGACAGAGATGGCCAATCAGCAGAGAAACAGAGATAGAGCTATGTGTACGGGGCGATATAGCGAGCGAGTTTTGATTTTCGATTTCGAGCTTTAGCGTTAGCCTTAGCCTTAGTATTAGTATTAGCATTAGCATTAGCATTAGATTCAAATTAGCGATTTAGCGATAGCTTTTCTGATCCGAGTGCGCAGCCCAGCAGCCAATTAAATGGGCGTGGTCGGTTCTGGGCGTGGTTGTCTTGGAAGTAGCTGTTCTGGTTGATGGTCTGCTTGTTGTTAATCGCTTGATATTGGCTTGTTTTTCTGGTTATCAGGTATTCTGGTTAACTGGTTTTCGACTGGTCGACTGGTCGACTGAGGACTGCTGGCTACTGCTGCTGCTGCTTTCGGATAGCAAAGTGTCCAAGGGCCGCGAGCCCGTACTTACCCTTAAAATCCCAAATATCCTCGGACTCGATTCGCTAATCAGGGACATTAACAAATCAATTATGGATATGGTAACCAAAGATCCGTCCATGATATTCCAGCCGGACGTAAAGTAGGCGTCGTGGCCGTAAAACATTCCCGTTGCCACCACCTATTGTTGTTATTAAATCATATTAGGAATTGGTTCACAAAAGGTGGAATCCCTCCCATTCATACTTACCTTGATAAACATTTCGACGGTGAAGACGACGGTGAACACGTAATTGGCTGTTGCCAGGAACAATCTTTCGGTGCTGCTTGGAGGGATGTTTGGTCTTTCCATGGCCAGGGTGATGCAGTTGAGCGCAATAAACAGCAGGACCACGTTGTCGAACCATTTTTGGTTGACAAACCACGTACAGATTTGCCGGAACCTGCAAAAGTGAAGGGTGTTCAAATGCAAATACGTGAAACAGAACTCGCAGACAAAGTTCAAATTGAATTTTCAGCTTGGTAAGAGGAGTACGGAAAACAGGAAACACATTTACAGCGTCAAAGCAACTAGTTCATTTAACTGCTAACTGATTTGTTCTTAATAAACCCACATTTGATTATTGTTTTGATTTCATTTCTCGGAAAAAACGTGCGAAATTTGGTTTCTCCTTATTTCTCCCTCCTTATTGTGCTCATAACTAAGCCAATAATGCTCCAAATGTGGAATGCAATACCTTGTTGAGCTTATTTTCTAATTCTTAACAAAACTGCATTGTAGAACTTTAGGCATTTTTCATAAAAAAAGACGATTTTACCCCTTAACGGCAACAATGCCGGGCTCTCTTCTGTCAACCGACGTATACGTGATTTTGGGCACAAAAAAATCCGTTTTTTGGCATAGCACAGCCAAAAATAGTCCAAATGGTGAATGTAATACCTCGTAGGGCTCGTAACTTGATTGCCATGATTCCCAATTGGTTTGCTTTCAAATCTGGGAAACTTAATTTTTGGCCCATTTTTGAAAATTTTGATGATGGTACCCCTTATCAAAAATGCGAAATTTGGGCCAAAATTTATATTCCCAAAATCGAAATACGAGTGATGGGGGTGGTAAGGGCTGGTCGTTAGCAGCACGAAACAGTCGTTCCTTTGGCTGTGCGTCCTGTTTTGACCGAGCTAGACCTAACAACCCGCAATAAAAGTTGCGAATTTCTGTTAAAATTCGGTTTCCTGATTTTTCAGACCTTAAAACAGAGCTCTCACCAAAAAATCAGAACAATTATAGCAAAACCAAGTATAGGGGTGTTAAGTTTCGGTAGTTAGCTGCACAAAACAGTCATTGTTTTAGCTATGCGACTTGTTTTGACAAAGTTGGAGCTAAGAAACTGCAGCAATCCCGGGCTTCCTGCTGTCAAACGACGTATACGTGATTTTGGGCACAAAAAATCAGTTTTCTTGGCATAGCAGAGCCAAAAACGGTCCAAATGAGGAATGCAATACCTCGTACGGCTCGTAACTTGATTGCCATGATTCCCAATTGGTTTGCATTCAAATCTGGGAAACTTCATTTGAGGCCCATTTTTGAAAATTTTGATAATGGTACCCCTTATCAAAAATGCGAAATTTGGGCCAAAATTGATTTTCCCAAAATCGAAAAACGAGTGATAGGGGTTGTTAGTATTGGTCGATAGCAGCACGAAACAGTCGTTCTTTTGGCTGTGCGTCTTGTTTTGACCGAGCTAGAGCTAAAAAGCCGAAAATAATGTTGCAAATTTCTGTTAAAAATCGGTTTCCTGATTATTCAGCCATTAAAAAAAATAGTTGTGATTTTCCGCCCAAAAATAATTGAAAATGTGAAAAAATTTAAAAATTCATAGTGGGTCGGCGTAATGTACCTGTTGTTCTCTGGGAATATGTAGAGCGAGTAGTCCTCGCGCTCGGTGGTAAAATGCTTGGGCGTCAGCTGCTCGATGAGCATTTTGAGCTTGGAGAAGCGTTCGCCGCCTCCTGGCACCATGGAATGTGGCTGCATCGCCAGCTGCTGCTGATCCTTGGACAAGCGGTGCTGTTGCTGCTGCTGCTGGGTGGTCGAGGAGAAGGAATCCTGCCGTTGCTGGAGCAGCTGCTGCTGATGGAGCTGCTGCAGCTGCTGCAGTTCCTTCTCCTCGAGCCGCTTCTTCAGATTGTAATGGCTAATGGAGTTCTTGCGCTTGTCCCGCGCCTCCATGTACTGTTGCAGCATGTTATCCGGCTCGTTGAGATTGCCGTACGACTTGTTCCACTTGTCCAGGTCCATCTTCGAGTTCGTGTACGAGAGCGACTTCCGGTTGGCCTCCAAGTTATGCAGATTCAGATGCGAGGTCTTGCTGAAAGCCAGTTCGATGGAGCTCATCCTACGTTGCCCAGAACCTGGGCGCAGTTTGGGCGGCTGATTTAGATTCTGATAGACCTGCGAGTTGAAAATGCATGCCGAAGCCCGACGACTGCCCGCAGGTCCGCTGCCTATGCTCAGGGTATTTGATAGTCTCCTTATGGAGTTCTGTGGACTTAGGCGATTGGTTTCCTTGGAACCCGAGGAGGGACCACTGACCACAGCGTTGCCGCTTCTTAGCAAAAAGCTGTTGTCGCCACCATTATTGAGTTGCTGTTGCTCTTCCTCCTCATCCTGAGTCCTTCGTGAAGGATTATCCTCGTTGGTCAGGGCCAAAGCGGAGGATCGGCGTTTCTTGGAGCTGCCACGTCTCAATCGCTGCTTAAAACTCCCCTGAGGAGGTGGAGCCAGCGGCAGGCGTTCACTAGACGAACTCCCACTTGTCGAGGCTCCTGTGTTGGTACCTCTTCCAATTCCCGTTATGGGAATCTCACCCACGCTCACATCGTTAAGACTGTGACTCTGACTCTGTGCCTCCGCTGAGGACGAGATGGTGGGTACATAAATGGGCGTAGCCGCCGCCGTCGAACTGGAGCTCTTCGAGATGTCGTCGATGATCACGCTGTGCATGCTAGCCGAACTGCCAGCGGTGCTAGTGACACCCACTCCCATGCCCACGCCCACCCCTAGCTGGCTGGCATTGAGGATGTTCAGGGGCTTGTGGGAAAGCACAGGCGAGGGCGGGATGAGATCGATGGAGGGTATCCCTTCGTCCAGACTTCGTTGTCCGCCCGTAAAGATGTTCGGCGGCCGCAATAGAGAAGGGGAGGGCGGACTGGGTGGCTGGGTATGGGATGGTTTTTTGGTTGGAGTTAGTATGTTGAAAATGATATTCGGTACTGTACTTACTTCCATATCGCCCCACTGGCGGAAGCTCATGCCCGGCTCCAAAGTAGTGCTAGGGGAATCCTGCGGCGTGGCTGCCGTTGTCGTGATGATGGGCGGATCCCGGACGAGCCGGATTTTGGAGAGGCGTGGCGCCTCGCTACGCCGCTCCTTGATGGAGTATGTCTGTGTGCGACGGGGTGCAGGTGGTGTCAAGTGTTCTTGTCTGTCTGCGAGGATTGTTCCACGTGGTGGTGGTGCTCTTACCTTTTTGAGGCCGCCGCGCGGCTTGGCATGCTGCGCCCCCTCCTCCTTGCCGCCGCCGCCGCCGCCCGACTCTCTGTCCCGCTCCCTATCCCTGTCCCTTTCACGCTCGCCAGATGCGGTGGCGCCGGAAGTGCCAGAGGCGGAAGGAGCAGCAGACGAGGCGGGCAGCTCGTTGATCTGGTAGTCGTGGGTGGGCTGCAGCAGGCGCTGGCGGTGCATGTTGCTCTTTGCCTCGATGATCAGCTCGGCGGAGTCCTGAAGCTGCTGGGGATTACGAACCGTGGATTCAACTTGGGCCATTCAAACAAACAGACACACACTCTCGCATGCAGCATGCAGCTATCACACACACTCTTTTTTTTTTTTTTTTTTTTTTGTTTTTCTTTTGTCACAATCACACCTGGTCATTATGGGGATCCTGTTCTAGATCCGTGATCCGTTCAGAGCTCACTTACCTTGCGCACATCCTCCGCCGATCGCCAGCGGTTGCGCACCTCGTAGTAACTATCGTTGGTGGTCGAGGAGTCCGCCTCGCTCCGCGACTCATCGTACATACCATCGCTATAGTTCTCGGCCAGCGTCTCCTCGCGCAATTTCTTAACCAACTCGCGCTGTTCACGCTCGCGACGTTCATTTCGCTGAGGGAATCAAAATTTCAAAATTAGACTTTCTCGTCAACCGGCGGGGGATATCGGCGTGGATTTCGGGGGGATGGTGGCATTGGGTATTCGAGGTCGTTAGGTCGGCGGGTCAGTCGTCTTTTACGAGACCCACTCGCTCGCTGGCTGCCTGGTTTGGCTGGCTCATCCGCTCGCATCCGGTTGAATGGGGGGCGGGGGAATGGAGGCACAGGCCACAGATTGGGATTGGGATCGCGACGCATCGATGCTTCATATTATGACGTGGTGTTTCCTTTACCTTAACTAATTTATCATTTACATAATTTTGTAACTTTTTGTAACAGAACTGAAATCTTAATCGCAATCGTTTTATTTTACATTTTAAAACTCAAATAGAAACGTGTCATGACTTAACTTTCTTTTTAATGCCTAGCAGTTATCAAATTGAATTAATCTTTAAAGTTTAATTTAAAATGCACATAAAATATTGAAATTTAAATAAAATATTACTAAAATCTTCATAAAACATCACAATCTGAAGCGTCGCTTGCGTATTAGTTGGCGATAATATCCTTTATATCCAATAGCTAATCGAAGATCCAAGGATCGTTTCGAAAGTGCTAGGTTATCTTTTTTTCAAATATTTCGTATTCAGTATTTTGGGACAGGGGAATGTTGTTGGCAAAACTCTACCTCTGAACTGAATCCCTCAACTAAAATGGCCACCAATAAATTAAATAGCACATAATTGCCGAATGTCATTAGTGCCACAAAGTACAATGCGGCCCAATGACTTGTCTTTTCCATTCCGTTGAACAGGACGACGTTCCAATCCTCTTGCGTCAGAATCTAAAAACATTTTCGTTTCGTTTTCGTTTTCGTTTTCGTTTTTTTTTTTTTGGTGATTTGTAGTAGTTGTTGTTGTTGTTGTTGATTGTTGTTGGAGTTTGATTGGAGAGTTGTTGGAGAGTTGTAGAATTGTAGTTGTTGATCGGTGGCAGTTGCAGTGGCGGGCGGCAAACGTGGTGCAGATTTAACATACATACGCATGGATATATATGTCGTGATACACATATCGGAATATATATCGTAAGAAGCGAAAGAAAAAGAACGAAATACCAATAAACAAATTTTGTAATTTTGTCGTTGTGGTGGGTGGCAAAGAAAGTAAGTAAGTAAGTAAGTAAGTAAGTAAGGAATTAGTTACGAAATACGAATGGAAAACGAATGGCAAAAATGTCAAAGGTCAGACAAAAGACAGACAGAGGTATAGATAGCGAGATCAAAACGGCAAACGGTGTTATCTTTTTTTTTTTTATTTTTTGCATATAAATATATATATATATATAGGCACATATAAGTACAAATCGGTTCAGATCGGCATACTTATATGATCCTATATCAGGAGAGCATCAAACACTAGCAGTTTGTTCATTTTGGTTTTTTTTAGTAACTCAGGCGCATACATAAAATAAGCGTAAAACTTAAAAATATCATCGGTTAATGGGAAACTTGATCTTGAAAGAGATAAAGGCCCCAGGAAAAAATTCCTTAAGGTTAAGGAAAATAAAACATAAGTGCAATCAAGGGGCAAAGGCCAAGGAAATAGTCAAAAGAACTTAAAATATGGCTAAACATTTATCCAGAGTGTTCCCAGACTGTAATTCCTTGTAAAACATAGCATACTTTTTCGGGTAGCCAGGAACTCTCGGATATAGACAAAGCTTTGAAAGTGAGTTAGTCAGAAGGAAGGTATAGATGGGGTCTTTTTAGGGGAGTCCAAGCAGTGGTGACGGCTTGACTCAAACTATCTGTGGACAGCCCGTTAAGAAGCTGCTCAAACTGATTTCTTTTTGAGAAACAAAAACAATAATTCGTGGTGTGGCATACTAAACGAACACAAAGCGACAACAAAATGAAAATCATATTTAAACGAAAAGATATATAAGCACGCTATAAGCAAAGCCAAAAGTAAATAAGTTAAGAGAAGCAGCAGCAAAGGCTCTCGAACTAAATCAAAGAGCAAAAAGCGCACAAAAACTCTTGCATATAGGAGAATTTGTAAAAAAGTTTAAATTTTTCATGGAGCATTTCCTCCATTCTGGTTTTGTTTTTGCTTTTTACACAAAGTGCCAATGGGTTTTTCTATTTAATTTAAGTAATTTTTGTTGTTTTTTGTTATTTTTTGCTATACAATACGAATGCGGTTAACATAAGAGGCGAATTAATTTGATTTTGGTTTTGTTGATGTTTCTAAACTTTTGTGGCTGTACATTTTTTTTTTTGGTTTTTGTTTTGCGCATAAGCAACTTTTAAAATATTATATATAGATATTAACAACGCTTTTTATACAGCTGGCTTAGCAACAAATTTGAAAACGGATCGACTAGGTGAACGAAGGAGATATATAGTTTAGTAGAAAAGGCAAAGATCGAGGGGAAAGCAGCAGCAGCAAATCGAGAAATAAAAACTTTCGTTTCCGTTTGAACAAGCCAACGAACAAACAAACAACAAACCCAACGAACAAACAAAAGACTTAAATCAAATATGTACACAGTTTGCATGAATGTGGCTGTGGCTGTGGATGAGTCATTAGGTTCTGATTGGGATTCGTGGCAAGTCAGGTTGGCAAATTGATTTGGGTCTGGCATACAATTATAAAGCCGAAAGCTAAAGCCGAGGCCAAATTAAGGTGAGGATCCCAAAAAAAGTCATGCAAAAAAACTCGGAGCATCAGCGTTAACGGTTTTTGCTTGGTTTACATCGTATGTGTGTATGATCAAAAGAGGGGAAAAAAGAAAGAGACAGAAGAGAGAAAGAGATAGAAAAAGATTGTGGTGAGAGAACCGAATGGATGTTCTTTCCAAGAACCTTCGGTTGCCTTTGTACAGTTAGGCAGTAAGGGATGTCAATTCTGTCGATAAGTTTACCAATAAGTTTCGATTTATTTTCGATTTCTTCTGAGTTGAGTTTTATATCTGAACATTTCTTTGGGTAAATATTATTTAGTTTTTGAATCTTTGACATCTTTACAGAAACTGCAAGCCCAGCTGTACTTTTAGATATGTGTTTGTCCATCTAATCAGAATATTTACAGGGACTTCGTTATATAACTTTCTTTTTTGAGACTACCCAATGGTCGTGTGTTGTGTATGCGTAAAAGCTTATGTGGGTGTTTGGTTATGTGGAGAACTCTACGACTACTTTAGCTGGCATCAGAATCGAAACGAAATCGAAATCAAAGTCGAAAACAAAGCTGATAAAGAGAGAGAGAGAACTCAAGGATACAACCAACTGTTGAGTACTTATATAAGACTAGAATAAATTAAATCAAAATCAAAAGGTCAAAGAGAGCAGAAACTAGGAACTGGGGGAATTTTTGTGGCTATACGTAAGAATTCATTAAATACTTTTTCATAATCACAAGAATTTCAGACTGGTATTGATAGGTATTGTTGTAGCTGTTGTTCAAAGTGGATTTCAGGGGGGGTGGAGGGTGGTTTGGTTGGGTGGTACAGCTTTGGATAAAGGAAAAGGAAATTTGGGGAGTTTTTGGGAAGAGGTGGATAGGTGGATAGGTAGGAAGTTTATTGCTGTATTATTGTTCTTACTTGGAATACTGTGACTGTGGCCCACAAAATGTTGTTGAAGTGTTTGCGATCGCACTCGCATTGCGGATGCCGGCTGATTATTTCGGGACACGTGCACTCGCGTTCGAGTCCGGATTCGTCCAAAAATTTACAAAACTTACCGCCAAACAGATACATGCCGAGTATGCTGCAGGTTTATATATATGTTTTATATATACCGTATACATATGTATTTATTTATAGAGTCATAGATGTGTGTCTGTTATCATAGTTCATTAATATGGCTATATAAACTGGTTCATAGATATATATAGAGAGAGAGCTGGGTTCGTATATATATATATATATGTGTATATATATTTTATATATTATATAGTTGCGATTCTTATATTTAAGGATATAAACAAGTAGTAGGTTCATCTAGTGGTCCCTGTACATAAGTATATATATATATATTGGGTGTTTTTTCGGGGGGGTAACTTGTGATTCTTTAGAGAACGGAAAGAGGCAAAAAGAAGAGTCCTCTCATCTAAAGGCAGAGTCTGCTCCTCTGCCAGCCTAGATTCTTCTGTTCTTTTCTATCTGGTTTTTATGTCTATATACACAGTGGTTGTTGGTGGATAGTTCACGATCTGACCTTAATGCTTGCATATTTACATAATATACTTCCTAAGAAATGTGTGCTGTGCATAAAGTTCGACTATGGCGGAAGGAGATTTTCATATTATTTTACAGTTGGTTGGTCTCAGGTCCTTGGGAATGGCAACTTGAACTAACCAAAAAAAAAAAAAAATCTACTGATTACAGGAGAATCTCTATGTGTTCGCATGTTCGTATATGAGGTATGTGTGCCTGAAGGATCTGAGTATAAAAAGGGACTTTCGATTACAGATTACAGTGGGAGAACGGTTGGTTATGCTTGTGTATGTGTGGCTGTGTCTGTGTGCGAGACAGTGGGAGAGACAGAGACAGAGAGAGTTCTCCTTTCAGAGGGTTTGTTCGGGTGGAGTTCTATACAACTTAGAGTCTAGAATAGCATATGGTCTAAAGATAGGTATATACATAAAAGGTAGGACATTGAGCAAAGTGTGTGACAAAAATCGAAGCATATTTATATATATATATATATGTAGTACATAAAGAAGAGCACGAGCGAGACAGAGATATTTTTATATATATATATAGAGAGAAAGAGAGCGAGACAGACAGAGAGAGGTGTTCAAATAATGTGTATGTGTGTGTGTGTGTGTGTGTGGTTTATTCGAGAGGTATACGAGTATGCCAAGTGTTCGAGATGCTGGATGCAAAACTCACTGCTACTCGGTTATGTTTACAGTATATCGCATGCTGGAAGCTCAACAAACTCGAACGGAAATGCTTACCTGGTGCATCAATGTACATCACACAAATACATACACGCATACATACAAGGAGCGTTATTAACAGAGTTAGGCTTATGGGCGGGCATTCCCATGTTTATATACGAATACTCCGAACGACATGCGGATGCGCGCTGCTTGCTATGGAACTCGTAACGGTAATGGTAACGCCAACGGCAACGATAATTCTAGCACTAACGCTAACGGTTAGCTAACGGTAATGGTAATCGCAACGTTCAACGCATGCATGCCAAATCAAGAATCGTAATTGTTATCGAAATCGAAATCGAAATCTAAGTAACTAAAGATGAAATCAAGACTTCAACTGAATACCACACACTCAATCAAGGGCACACCACAAATTAGTGCGAGCGAGCAAGATGGCTAGCTAGCTAGTCGATCTTGATGTCTGGCGATCGAAATGCAATTTAAGAAATCATATAAATCATACGCTTTGTTTGTGTGAGTGATTGATCGGATGATCGATGTCCAAATCACTCGCACATACTACCAAAAAAACACACATGGTTAGACAGACAGACAGAGACAGAGACACAGAGCGTGAGCGTGAGAGAGCGATAGAACGTCACAAAGAGTTATCGATTGAAGCGTTAAACGAACGAGCATCAATCGAATCGAAACAGAAACGAAAATGAGAAACAAACTAAAACCGTAATCGAAATCGAAAAATCGAAAAGTGAAAAAGAAAGAAAGCTAAATGCTCAACGTATCAGAACGTATTTCACTGGATTATTGGGTTTTTTCTTTGGGTTTCTTCTTTTTTTTTTTCTTTTTCGGTTTCATGAACAGTTAGGTTATCGTAATCATATCAGTAGCAGAGATTATGGCGTAACATTAGGAGTAGTAGTAGTAGTAGTAGTAGTAGTAGTAGTATAGATATATACATATAGGTTTACGTATGGTATAAGGCTGATAGCAATGGGTCTACCTGGAACACTGTGACGAGCGCCCAGAGCAGGCTGTCGAAATTCTTACGATCGCAAATCATCTCTCCGTTAACTTTCTCGCAGAATTTACATCCGAACAGATTCATGCCGAGTATACTAAAGTGATGGTTTGGTTTTGTTGATATATAATATGATATATATATATAATATATATTTTGTTGTTGTTTGATTGTTTTTTACGTTTTCGATTTTATTTTTTTGAAATATATATTCTTATATATTTTTGTGTTTTTGGTTTTTTTGGGGTATTTTTTTGGGTTGTGTTTAGCATACAGTTTTTAGTTTTATTTTAATTTTCGGTTTTCATTTTATTCGATTATTATTGGATTGTTTTTAGTATATATTTTTATTAATTGTGTGAAGTGTGACAAAAAGAGAAAGAGAGAGAGAGAGAGAGAGACAAAATATATATATAGAGAGAGAGAGATAGTTAAGAAAGAAAAAGACAGAGTGTGGGTGAATGATAAATAGAGACAAGATATAGAGAGAAGGGGACAGCAAGGGAGGCCAGATCTAGTAAGTGTTCTTGTAAGTTAAGTGAAGCGGCAAAAGAAAACTAACAAATCAAAACACTCGTTAAAAGAGAGAGAGAGAGAGAGATGGTGAGAAAGATGGCTTAGATAGCCCGCCTAAACGACTGATATCGGACCACGGTACAGAATGGAAACGAAACAGAGGTACAGTTAGCACCCATAGAAACTAAGAAGCTTAAGCCTTGCAATATTAATGAAGAAGAATCGGGGCTTGGCTTTATTATTCTCTTTTTGGTCTGTTTTCTTGATTGTCTGTTTTCAGTTTTCAGTTTTCGGCTTTATTTTAGTTTTTCTCTTTCGAGTTTATTTGGGGCATTTATCGAGTTGGTTTATCTGTAGCGACGCAGGCTTTTTCGTGTTCAGCTCCATTTACAGTTCGTTTGGTTCATTGGTTCTCTTGTGAATATATATAGTATGTGGGGTTATATAGAGTCTGGTCGGATGTTTCGTGTGGCTGTTGTGTTTTTTATTTTTTATTTTTTTTTTGCTATTCTAACTACACAAACTCGATTACGTTTACTTTAGCAACTAGTCTATCTAAATAGTGTGTGTTCTTGTTTAAATATTGTTTCTTTTATCGTTCTGTGTGTGAATACTGGATATTCATAGTTATACGAGTATATCAATTACGAGTAATCATATATAGGTATATATAGAGATAGAGAGAAAGTACGGGTATATATAGGTATGTATCAAACTGCAGCGACTGCAACTACACAATAAGTAAGCGTACGATCATTTTTTTTTTTAAGTATTTTCTTAAGTTTAGTTTTTTCAAATACTTTTTTGTCGAGTGTCTTTTTGAGCGTGAGTGTGCGTGTGCCGTGTGTCCGTGTAAAAAAGCTCCAAACAGCAAAGCCTTTAAGCCTGCATTTTTAAGTCTTCTGGCAAATGCATCAATCCAAGCTGAGCTTTTGGTGTGTGGGAGTGTAAATATATATTTATATATATATATATATGTGTCTGTGTGTGTGTGTGGCTATGTGTTGCAGTGTTGGTTAACGCTAAAAGAAGCTAGGATACACACTTAGTTAATTTGAAATGGAATAAAGCATTTTTGGCTAACTAACTAAGCTAACTAATTGTTTCTGTGGCTGTAATTGCTGTTGTTGTTCTTGTAATGTGTGTGTGCATGTGTGTGTGTTAAACCAAATGAGCTTCAAATGATGGGGTGTAATAAGGAAAGAGATAGCCTTAGAGAGAGAGAGAGAAAGTGACAGCGATAGAGAAAGAGAGTGAGTGTTGTGTTGTGTTGGAAAAATAAAGGTTTCAGAGTAGAAAAAAGAACATTTTCCAAATTCAAATCCAAAAATTGACCAAGAAAGGCAGCGACTGGGTCGGTGCTTGAAATGGAACTCAAATCGAGATTGAACCGAGCGAGAAAGTAAGAGAAACAGAGAACTTCAGAGATTAGAGAGAGAAAGAGAAAGTAAGAAGTTTTGTTAGTGTCAGTGAGAAGGAGTGTGTGTGTGTGTGTTAGCGTAATGCAAAGTGAACGAGCGAGGACTCAAAGTGTACGACAACTAACTTTGACTTTGGGGGGTATTGGATAGAGAGACATAAAGAAATGGTTAGTTAAAGAGGATCGGGAAAGATATAGCAAGATAGATATATATAATAGATATATCAAGTGATACGGGTACAGTTCTTGCTGGTACGAATACGAGAGATCGATTGCTTTAAAAGTTACACAACTTTGTAACGTCATCTAACTACGATTCTTCCATAATTTTCAAATGTTACTCAGAGACAGTAAGTGAGAAAGATACCAAGAGATAGAACTTAAGAATAAATGTGAGTGAGATAGAGAGAGAGAGAGAGGGAGAAATCGTTAAGAAATCACTTGAAGAGACATTAAGGCAAATCTTTACTCATATAGGCAATACTCAAATGGTACGCAGTTGAAACGATCGTGTCGAAGAAGCACATAAATGAGGTTTGGGGGAGGCAGGGGGGTGGGTTCAAGAGATACGTGTAAGTCTTTGTATGATTATGGTGTGGGCAAGGATAGAGTCCTTAGGGAGATCCTGCGAACTAGGGGAAGAACTGGTGAGAGATGTAGGAAAATGAACGTCTATCAAATGATCAAAGGTACTGCAGATTTGGGTAATCAATAAATTTTCAGAAGTTACTTGGATTAAATCTTGAAAGTTTGTCTTGGAATATTTCTTAGAAATCTTAGTTAAGTGCTTTTTGAGTATGTTTTTTTTACTATTATTATCTTAAAATATGAAGACTATTGACCTTTTATTTCTTTTCCTGCAAATGATGGATTTTCTATAATGATGGATTGATAATGGCTGAGCAGGGTTAGGGTTATGGTCAGTTGACTGGATGGGTGGTAAGTTAAGGAGGGCTTTCATCTATGTGGAAAGCAGCTAGTGAGGCGGAACTAGGAACTGTTAGTTATAAGACGATTGCTATGGGCTAACGAAACTGAACTGTTTCTGGTTTTCTGTGGCTCGGGTTCTTTTGTGTTAATCACTCTTTTTTTTTTCATTTACATTGTTTTCATTGTTTGTTTGTGGGGGTCGCGATCGATAACTGCTTGGCTATCGATAGATTGTAGATTATACTGAATTTTCTTTCTTTTTCATCATTACTTTTGTTATTTCCGCATTCTTCTTGTGTGTGTGTGTGTGTGTGTGTGGTTGTGTGTTTGTGTTCGTGTCGATGTTTGTTTCTTTCTTTTTTCTTGTGCATGTGAGTCTGTCTGTGTATTTGTTGGTGTGTTGTGTTGTGTGTGTGTGTGTGTGTGTGTTTGTGAGTTGTGGTGGACAATCGGTAATCGAACTCACCTGAAGATGAAGATAAACAAGACGAGCAGAGAGAAGAACACGGCCACGTTGTCCATTGTGCGCAGCATCACGAATAGCTGGCGTCGCAGGTTGGGCATGAAGCGGACCAGCTTGAGGATTCGGAGTAACCGGAAGGTCCGCAGCACGGACAAACCGGATCCACCGCCTCCAGTCCCATTGCCCATGAACGTCTGACAGATTTCAATGGCACTAGTTTCGAGGAGGGGCAAAAAGTGATTATTCAGGTTCATTAAGGACAAAGGAGGTCCTCTGGATTCAGGTGACCCTCACTTACCTGAGAATGACGATGATGCCATCGAATACATTGAATCCATTGGCAATATACCGGAATGGACCCTCAGCAACAACCTTCAGCAGCATCTCAACGGCAAAGATGCCGGAGAAGACGACGTTGCTAGTCTCAACAATAGCGGTCAGCTCCGGCGGTTGGTTGTGGTATTCGATGCCCATGGACAGGGTGTTTATCAGGATGGCCAACAGAATGCCCTGCTGGAAGTACTTGTGCTCCACCAGTCGCTTAATATAGCGACGTACCCAGCTGCAGACACGCGACATGCAACGATAGACGGCGATCAGACACCGAGTCGTTGGTGATCTCTGTCTGGGTCGCTCGTCCAGTGGTGACAGGGCGTTCTGGTAGAGATCATAGCAGCAGGCATAGTCCTCCATATAGTTGCCAGTAGGTGGACGGGATTCTCGTACTCGAGAATTACCCTGTCCTTGCCGTGAGCGATAATTCCGACTGTGGCTGGTGGTATTGTTGTTGTTGTGATGGTGGTGCGACTGCTGGTGGTGCTCTTTGCGACGATGATTCGCCGCCTGGTTGTCTATGGGTCCCACAACAGCTGACACTGTCGAGGGTTCAAGTGTCTGGCCGGGATCACCGGCCGTTGAGGCAACCATCACTGTAGCTCCCTCACCTCCCGGTGGTGTTTGGTTTTGGCCAGTGGGCAGGGAACGCGGCTTGTGGTGAGCTCGCAACGCCTCGGCGGTATGTGGATCGCAGCGGGCTAGCGATGTGTAGAAGGACTCTAGCGTACTCTGACCCGTCGGCAAGGCCGCTGAAAAGGCCACAGAGAATGCTAAGAGCTCTTGACAAGTCATCGCATCGTGTATACCCAGTTCAGAGCAATCGGCATAGGGATTGGCAATGGTGCCGATGGTCTGAGGTAGATTAACCTGTAAAAGTGAAATATTATTAAAAAGCCGCAATAGATTTTGCTTTAAATGAGACAACTTTACTCACCTGCCAGATGCTGCCATCGCCAGCTTGGGTCATCTTTTCCGTGGAGAAGATGTTGCTTTTCTCAGTGGTTCCACCGGCGCCTCCTGCTCCACCCACTCCGCTGGCACCACCATTGGCACCATTCTGATGGTTGTGGAGTCCGGAATTACCACCGGAATTTGCCGCCGCTGCTGCAGCAGCTGCTGCTGCGGCCGCCGCTGCCGTTCCTGCAACGGTTGCTACAGTTGTGGCCACCGTAGAGGTAGTTCCTGTTGCCGCTGGATCTGCATTGAGGGCTGGGGGCGTATGCAGCAACACGTACTCATTGAACATCACCGATGGTCTTCGGCTGGCCGAGGTGGGCGGACTTAGGAAGCCCGAGGTGCACGGATGACTCTGCGAGTGTGCGGTGTTGCAATGTGAATGGTATTAGTGATTAGTTAATATAACTTAAACTGAATTATCAGGTATTCAGAGGGAATGAAATGGAAGATAACTCTCAAACTACTACTAGCAAAAGTTTCAGAAATGAAACTATATAAGGAATTATTTTACAAGGGTTATGATGCAAAGCTCCTGAACTTATAGGACCTACAATCTGGTATTTACCAAAGTGGTTTTGCGGGAATCAATTTAAAAAGCTCTCAATAAATAATGGGTTTTATTTACATAGTTTATCATGACCACACTTAATGTTAGTAGAATTCCAATAACTTCTATTACACAGTTTAATCTTCATCCACTTTTTACGACACCGCCTAACATTTATTTTGGCTTTAATGGGGGACATATGGACAACGGGTCGGTTCGGGTCGGGTCGGTTGGGTTATTGTCTCTGCTTTCAAATGGCATTTACATACGCAAACAAAACGAAATGATATAAATAATTAATGGGTATTTCGGCGGGACAATGGGCAAGGACAATGGGCTACTGATTTATCAATGGGACAATCAATTCGCTATATACTTATAAGCGCAAACACAAAGGGGAAAAACTATTCCAACTGCACTTAATATGCAAACATATCGTTTATATCTACAATTTGTAAGTGTCTTTTTTTTTCTAGTTTTTAACTTTATTGCTTTTATGTATCCTAGATCGCAGGCTAAATGCCCTTGCCAGAGGTCATAGCTAGGTAGTTTTCTAGTACTATTTTTTTTCTTTTTGGTAGGACATTCAGTTTTCGGTGCCACCGAAAAAGCGCTGCTCTCTCTCTCTACCTACACATTTTGTAAAGTATGTTCTGCTGGCATTTTATACATATTATTTTATTTATTTATTTTTTTCAGTACCTTGCCTAAATTTCCCAACTGCAGCTATGCGAATTAGCAAGGTTTGTAACAAATATGAGAGATTATTATTATTATTATAATTATTAATTTAATTTTATAGTGGCTGCTGTCTGTTTTTGTTTTCTGGCTATTTTTTTTTTCTTTTTGGTTGGGAATTTGGAAATATATATATATAGATATATGTTTATACATATATATATTCTGTTTCTTTGGCTGTTCATCTTTACTGTTTTTGGTTCGAATCGATTTTGGATTTGGGTGTTCTCTATATTAGCTTGTGGACATTGGACTGATCGTTGCCAGGGGTCTTGTTGTACTCACAATTAGCTGCTCGGAATCAATCATCTGCTGGGGAAACTTGAGCAGGATTGTCTTCTGTTCACCGGCACTGCCCTCGGGCTTCAGTTGATGATGGGCAGCGGACTTTTTCAGTGAGGAACTTCTGGGTAATCCGTCAGCGGCCAGCGATTGTTCTGTATTGTCGGAGGAGGAATGCTGTTGCTGCTGCTGCTGTTGCTGTTGCTGTTGCTGCTGCTGTTGGTGTTGCAACATTTGATGTTGCTGATGGTGAGCCGAGGACATGGTTACACTTGCGGCACTACCATTTATCCCATTGACCAGAGCCACTGTGGTGCAGCTGGCCGCATTGTTGTTGTTATTGCCACCACTGTGATTGCCACTGCCATTGTGGTTGCTACTCGTGCTGTTGTTGTTGTTATTATTATTATTGTTGCTGGCCGAGTTAAGGGGCACCATGACGGTAATCATCTGATCCTGAATGCTGGACGGCTTGCGATTACTGTACTTGGGGCACTTGGGATGATGGCACTTGATCCGCGACGGCGAGAAGGTCAAATTGTCGGCATTGGGCAGTAGGCCCTCCTTGCGCTGCTGTCGCTGGTACCTGTAGCAAGCACCACCACATTGGTTTCGTTGCGGGTCGTTCGATGGTTCAGTAGTGGTTGGTTAGGTGGCAGATGGGCAGATGGACAGAGTGGATGGAATAACAATTCGATTAGCGACAAGTTCAAATGACAGTTCGCGGGGTTCACACACTCATGTCTGTACACAAAACATCGTGTTCTCTGTTTTTGGGGGGGGTGGTGGGTCGATTGGGGGTCAGGTGGCCCGGAAATGTGGGTGGTTTCATTGCACGTGCATTGGTCAAAGGGGTTGGGGTAGGTTGGCTGGTTGGTTGATTCAGGTGGGGGTTTTCATTTGTAGGTGCGCTCTCATTAGTGTCAGTGCCATGTCGTTTGTATGTATTTGTTTGTGCGTGGTGTGTGTCTGTGTGCTTAGCCATTAGACAGACAACAATCGCAATTACATAATTCAATCAAATGAACTAAGGACAACGACAGTACAAAAATGCAAATGATCCAAATTAACACGAGTCCCATCTGCGGATTCAGTGCCATTCGCTTAACTCGGTATTCTGTACACTCTGTTCGAAATGTGGCATCATCATATAGTGTGGCAACAGCAAATATAGTGTGAGGCACATTGGAAAGGAAGGATTGAGGTTACGGAGATGTGTTAACCAAAAGGTGGTTGGTTTTGATTAGCTAGTCTATATTGCTTCTGAAGAAGGTCTCTAATCTAAGTGGTTCTGTCAAGGAAATGTGTGGGAATGACACCTTTTACTTCAAAAGTAAATAGAAATCCTCTTTGGGATGGAAAATATATCAATCTGTTCGATTTTAACATATATGAAGATTTCTTGATTGAATAATAATGCCTTTGAGTTTACATTTTCATACTACAAAGTATATATTTTTCGTACAAGAATACCCGAGATGGCTTTCCGTAAAATGTTTCCTAGTTCCGTAAAAACTCATCAACTCTATATGTGGGTGTGTGGCTGTTTCGAATACTTAGTGAGGATGCACATTAAGACGTCATAACTGGTCTAGCTTGGAACCTTACACATTCATGCCTTTTGGCCACTAAGCTCGCTTGCTATAAACTAAATACTAATTGTGCTATAAGCAAGTTGCAAAACACTTAAAAAGATGCCAAAATATAAGCCTGAAAAAAGCAACTTAAAAGCAAATAAAAATCTCCTAAGTTTCATTTTAATTTAAGTAAACTGAAAATAACTTTTAACTTAAAAATGAATATACTAATAAAGCTTCTTAGACAAAGTAATAATATTAAATACAAAATTAGACAAAACTGAAAGCTCTCTTTGCCAGAAAGAGGCAGCCTTTTTAAGGCAATACAAAGAAGAATTTAATAATTTTTGGAATTTTCTTCAAGAAATCACAGGTGATTTCAGGGGCCAAAGTCCTTGTTCTTCGCTGCTCGAGTTCCCCTGTCATAGGGATTTGTGCGCTAATTACTCGCTTTAATGGGTTAGTAATCAGTCAAGTTTCAAGTGACTAAAGCCTATGGCTTTCTATAGCTTTTCTGTTTTGCTACGCGGTCAAGGGGGGGCGGACGATTAATTCAAACAGAGGGGGAGGCAGACTGAGATAGAGAGAGAGAGATAGAGAGAAGTAGAGATAGAGAGACTTGGGAAGGGGAACGGAAACCGGAAACTAAAATAACAAACGGAAGACATAATTGAATGAAATCAAAAGGTACAAGCAGCATACTTATATAATCTGTACTTCTTTAACATTCGTCTCTTGAAGCGCCGCCACAGATGGGCAATATATTTGACGATCTCCGCATAGCAGGTGGCCGGCTCTGAGTTGTTTGTGCTGCTGGCCAAGGTGGAGGTAGAGGTGTACCTTGCCCTCTCCTGGCGCATACGCTCCATTTCACGCTTCTTTGTCTCCGAGAATTGCGTGGCGATGACGACCAGGCACAGGTTGATCATGAAAAACGAACCAATCTATAATTATAAAAAGCCATGAATTAGTAATGATTCATAATAAAATCACACGGGGATAGCCCCTTGCAACATGCAATAAAATGTTATCCTAAATTGCAAGAGAAAATCATTTAGAAAATAAAAGAAGAAGGTGTGTGTTCGCACCAGCAGGTGGCGCTTTGTAGTTGCTGGAAAAACTTTTCGCATTTCCGTTTAAAAGTTTTCGTTTTCATTGCTGCCAGCGACAAATGCAAACTGAAAGTTTTCCCATGCCTTTGTTTATACTCCTTCAGACACACACATACACAGGCACAGCAAACAGGTCCTGATGGCTCCTTTGGGAGGACCTTTTCAGCCAGCCACTTAAATTCAATTAGCTGGGGGATCGGTAGACCTGCAGCCACCTGGTGGTCATCGGGGGGATTACAAGGCGGCCAAGATGCTGATCTCAAAACTTGAAATCGCAAAAAACTTTCGATTCTGCCGATTGCCTGGCTTAATTCGTTTACGAATTATTGAAAAACTTGCCCTAAACAGAGCAGACAAAGTTTAAACCACCGCTTTAAGTTAGTAACAGAAAGAAAATGTAGTTTTGACGATTAGTAAAAGTGGCAATACCTGTACAAGTTTGTTTCTTAAAACAATATCTAACCTATGATCTTCTCGAAGAAGTCCCAATTTCCACAACTCAAAAGTAGTAAATCTTCCGCTTCGAAAACTAAAACTGGAAATCGAAATGTTGGCAAACTTTAAATTGAAAACATATTTCAAAAACAAAGAAGGCGCTTCTAATTTGGAACTCGTGAGCTTGCCAGAAAATGCATAAAACATAAATAAGCAATTTCCTTCCATGGCGAACGCTCGCCCCAATAGCAAATCGAGGGAGCTCTGAGCTGGAGTGAGTTTGCGAGGGAACTAAAAACTATTTGCATACCAAAAGTTGTTGCCAACGAGAGCAAAATCATTTTGCACACGAAATGAACAGCGACAAAGACAGAGATAGGGATAGAGAGTGGAAGAGGGATAGGAACAGAAACAGAAACAGAGAAAAAGGTTGAGCAAACTTCAAACATAAATAATGAAATTTCCCCCTCATGTGTGTGTGTGTGTGTCTGAAACTGTATCTGTGTCTGTCTCTGTCGCTGCCGCTGTGCTAGCGTCCACTTGTGCGAGTGTCTGTGAGCCATAAAGGCTTTTAATTAGTCCAAGGACACCTGAGCACAAATCCTGCCATGCAAATGACAGCACAACAGACTGGAGTCCACTCGAAGATGGCACTGGCGAAAGTGGACAGTCGCTGGTTGGGTGGCAAAAATGTGAAAGTGGGAAATGTGAAAGTGGCAAATGGAAATGGAAAATGTAGAAGGATAAAGAGGGTAAGGTAAGTATGGCAATGGGTGGGCATGGCTCAGAGTGTCTGCTGTCTGCGTTGCAACATGTTGCCCAAGCTTCATGAAATTCATGGCATTTTCCCTAGACAAACTTTAGCCGCTTTGTTTGGTCGGCCACCTGAACACAGGAACCTGCTGCGCGTGTGTGTGGTCATAGTTTAAAAGTAATTTACTTATTTGCATTGCCAAATTGCTTTAGCATACTTTTGGGCTAAAAATCGCCTGTAGCCTAAGCCCCAAAAATGCCAGTTCGTCCCCCCCCCTCACCACCTTAACCATGCCATGAGCAACTTCAGCTCAATTAGTTTGGAGTCCCTTTAAGCCGTCTCCAAATTAAATATTCAATTCGTGATCAAAGCGAAAGGCCGCCAGACACCATGGCATCTGACCCCTGACCCGCTAACCCACTGAAATCCCTGAACCCCGACAAAAAAAAAAAAAAACACTCACCACAATCAGCAGCACAAAGTATATCCAATCCCAAAAGCTGTGCGCATCCTGCACGTAATACATTATGTCCGTCCAGCCCTCCAGCGAGATGACCTGCAAATCCAACAAATATTTCACCGTAATTAGCGTGCGCTCTCTGCAGAAATATAAATGAACGAGGATATGAAAAAAAAAAATAGAGACGAGGTAGGTATAACGTTGAGGCAGATGGCTGGTGTTTTATTGTTCACGCCCCGCCATTGTTGGCCAAAGAAGAGAGAGGAGGGCAAGGGAAGGATTGTGGGCAGAGCAATTAGGATAGCCTTTTGGCCACGGACCACGTCACGTATGCTTAATGTGCGGATTAAAGCGATGAAACGAGAAAAATTCAGCGCTTTCTACCTGATCTTAAGCCGATCAAAATTTTGTAACTTTTAGCATTATTTGAGTTATATTTAATGCTAATTCTAAGCTTAACTTTAAACTATATAATCCTATGAAGTACATGTTGTCCTTGACTTTGAAGGTCTTTGGATTTAACGAAGAGATTTTTATTAGACTTACCAATGCTGAGCTAAAAAGAAACCATAACTGGGGTATAAATAAACTATCGATTGAACTAGTTTTCCCTTGAAAATTAACCAGCTTATGTTGTGATACATAAACCATGGAAATTACCAACAAAACCAACAGTATTTAAAGCGAAATTTCACTCCCTAAGGGCATTAAATATAGAACGCACCCTTCTCCAGCTAAAACCACAGCGAATAGCCTGCCATTGGTTTCATCGCTTAATGTGCACTTGATTTGGGCTTAATTACATCATTTGACCTGCATATCAATAGATTCGCTTGCGGTGCGCGCCGTGTAATTGGCATATCAATTAAGGCCTGCCCCGGAGGACGACGATTGCACTTCAAGTGGAGTGAGCAGCTAAGGGAACCCAGCCATCAGTTTTGGCATCAGTTTCGGCATCATTGTCCGCATCGGCACCAGTATCCCTATCACTAGCATCACTTTGGCCATCATTCCCGCCTCCCCTTCCTGTTCGTTAAGGGGATGCAAATGGCTGGCTGGTTTGTTTTGTTAGTTTAGGGAAAGCGGAAAATTGAGCTGGGAGTTTTACTTGCGGCAGAAGTTGACACCAAATTAGCATACAACATTTTGTTGTTTCTATCGCTGCTTCTCGCCTGTTGCTATTTGTTAGACAAACTTTAAACTTTAATTGGCTACACTAAAAAAAAAAAATATACAGACTATATATAAGCTTTTAATTTTGTTTTGTTCTTTGCCATCAAGATCTTTCCCACTTCATACTCTGATTTTTTCTTACTTAAAAAACTTAAAATTAAGTTTACAATGTACAAAAGCTACTCACCAGGAAAATGGCCACCCAGGCCATACCGATGTTGTCGAACGATATCGTGCCCTGAAAGGGATTCTTGCCGCTCTGCTTGCAGGTGGTATAGTACTGGTTCCAATTCACGCAGGACGTGTTCGTTGGCTCATTGAAGTCGAACAGCTTGGCCTCCTCTGCGGATTGAGGATTGCGGGTAGCGGGATGAAAAGATGCGTAGATGGGTAGATGGGGCGAAAAGTGTATTGTTTGTAATTGTGATTGCTTTCGGTGGCTCTGGCTGTCATTAAGCGACAGCGAGAGGGCAATTAAAAATGCCATCAAATTTGATTACAGCGCAATTTGCACTTCATTTAGCTTTAAAGTTAATGTAATTGTCGTTGTCTGGGAAAAATGAGATGATAGAAATGGGGGAAAACTTACCATTGCAGACCAGCGAGCCAATGCGATAGGGTGGAAAGTTTCCGCATAGGTGCATCCCTGAATCGTTGGGCGTTGAGCAGATGTAGTCCTGATCCTTGGAGAATTCGTAGTACTGCGACAGGCTAAGGGTGCGATGTGTACAGAGAATTAGGAGAGTCATGGGATGCGATTTTCAGTTTAGATCGGAAGAACATCCAGCACACATAGAAACAAAGTGTACGAAAGAGAAGTTCACACCAGACAGAGAGATTTTTTTTTTGTATATATATATATTTAGAGAGAGAGATTGAGACATATAGTTGAGAAATAAAAAGACGGAAGGAGTGAGAGTGAGAGAAAGATAAAGATAAAGAGAGAGAACAATTAATAATCGTAATCCGTAATCGTAGTTCCATGTAAGTAATCTGTATGTTCAATGCGTATCGTAAACATTTACATCGAGATTTACGTAGAGAGAGATACATATGTTGAAATAAAGCAAGTAAATGATATCGATAAATCAATTTTGATTGGTGCTGAGTCTTGCGGTTGATCCGCGAGGACATTCAACTAATTAGAGTGAGATAGACAATGCCAATTCGAATATACGTGAGGCAAATGAAGAGAGCTAAACAGAACTGAACAGAGTGAGACACGGTTGAACAATGCAAGAGAGAGATACAGATATAGAGTGAGCGGGTGAGCGAGAAAGACAGCGATTGCGATTGCGTTTGCGATAGCGATAGCGATTGCGACAGCGATAGCGATTGCGACAGCGAGTAGTGACAACGAGTAGTGACAACGTATAGCAAGAGCGATTAGCAAGAGCGATTAGCAAGAGCGATTAGCTAGAGCGAGTAGCAAGAGCGAGTAGCAAGAGCGAGTTAGAAAGGCAAGAAGCGAGTAGTGGCAGAGTCCCCTTCACACACAGAGGACCCCAATCCACACACAGATAGCCAGTAAGCAAGATAGCGAGAAAGAGTGAATCTTAGTAAATGCTGGTCACACTGAGCCTAAGTACAGAAGGACACAACTGTACCGGAAGTGTAAGACAGAGAGAGAGAGAGCGAGAGAGAGTGAGACATAAGCGAGCCACAAAACGCCAACTAAAAAGCAAGAAGCACAAAAGCACAAAGCAGGAGGAGGAACACAAAAAAGACAAGGAGGATTAAGAGTGGGAGGTAGCTAAAAGGAAGAGGACTACACACTCGTAAAAAAAGGAAATGAAAACGCCAAAGCAATTTAAATTAAACGCGCAATGTTGCCACAAAATGGCCGACGCGCCGGAAACTCGCGACTTCAAAAAAAATGTCTGCCTCAACCAAGTGTCAACCGTAAAGTGTGAGCGAGTGTGAGTGTCGGTGTATCTGTGTGTGTGTGTGTGTGTGTGTTCCACCAGAGTGTTGTCGTGTGCGTGTGACAATAAAATGTGTTTAATATGCACGTGCAAGCACGGCAATGGCATTCGAGGACGAGGGGCAAGCGGCATCGCAAGTGAATTTTGAAATATTCCTCGCTCGCTTTTTCTGTTTTCTGTTTTCTTTTTATTTGATTTTTTTTTTTTTTATATATATTATTTTCTCCCATTTCTTTGCACAGTTCGCAACAATTCGCACGCTCCAACGTATGCAAAACTTTATGGAGTTGTTCATGTATATATGTGTGTGTGTGTGTGTGTGTGTCTGTAATTGTTGTACTTGATTTGCATGTGTGTGTGTGTGTGTGTGAATAGGAGAGAGCGATAGCGAGAGGGGCGTATGTAGCAGGGGCAGCTTTAAATACCTTTGCAATAGAAACTGATGATTTTTCCTGTAAAAAGAGTTCAGCTTACAAGAGATACACATACATAGGCGTGTGTGTGTGTGTGAGTGTGTGTGTGTTTTGAGTGCTGGGAAAGTGTGCCTGTGTGCGTTCCTTGTGTGCTGCTGTTTATATGTGTGTGCACGCGTGTGTCCGCTCTACTCTAATAAATATTGTACTGCACTTGTGCTTCACCGTACACTGTATTTTTCGAGTGTGTGTTTGTGGACCCCAAAATGTTGTTTAACTTGGTGAGCAAACAAACAAATATTAAAAATAAATAGAAATAGTACCTTATCTCGACTATCAGATACCCATCATTAAGGTTTCTAAATCGGAATAGTAACATTCAATGATGCAGCTTTTCATTAAGTTTTTATATTTGATATTTCATTAACCCATTATTCCTGCATCAGGTAAACAGATACCACTTAGAGTGGCATTTAACTTAAACTATCCATCCGGCAAGTAGACATTTTCTCACAAATTGAAATTCAGCAAAATCGTATATCCCTTTAGCTAGAGATTTTCGGTGAATGAAAGGAGAAACGGTACATGTTTCTGGCTTGTATGTATATATGTTGCTGCTAATTGGTATGCTTGTTATTTCGGTTGCTTGTGTTGTTGCTTTTCTTGTTTTCCTCTCTTTTTCGAAGGGGCTTTCCCCAAAACATTTTATATATATTTGTGTGTAGAACCTCAAACACCGATGAAAACAAAAGCATGAAATTTCAAAACAAAACCCAAAATTTGGTAAATGCAACAAAAACAAAACGGTTGAGAGTGGGTCAACGGATCGGGGTTGGGATTCTTTGACCCCATTTCTATATATATTATATATACTATATATATATATAGAAACACATAAGTGTGCGAGTGGTTTAGTTAGCATTTGAGATCAGGTTCAAGTGGTGCCAACAACTCTAGACACAAAAAAAGAAGCGTACACCAAGTCTAGGCTAAAATTATATATATATACGAGTACGAGTATATGAGAACGAGAGAAAGGGGTTAAACTAGGTGGCAAATAAAATGTGGCCTCAGACGGGTTAACTAGGGGCTTTTGCTTTTGGTACAGTTGTGTGTGTAAAGTGTAGTTTTTGGGGGCAGAGTGGGGGGAAAGAGAGTAGGATGCTGAGTGGTTGTCTAGTTTAGTTTAGTTTAGTTTAGTTTAGTTTAGTTGATATTTAGTATAGCTTGGTATTTCGTATATATATATCCATATATCTTCAAATATTACAAATACAAAGATAAAGATACAGATGGAGAGTTAGCTGGTTAGACGTTAGAAATCGTATTTCGTATTATCGTATGGCCAAGTATATTTACTAATACGAGTATATAAATATGCACATCTACTAATAGGGTGTGTGGCGACTATCGAACGTGTGTGGGAACGTGATGGCTAAAAAGAGTACAGTGTGAGTGTTACAGAGAGAGAGAGACAGAGAGAGAGTGAGAGAGGTAAATAGGTATTTGGACAGTGGAATATTTATTCCTTTGTCTGTCCACTAAAAACGCCATGGTCACTGTTTGCTTCTGATTTCTTGGTAAAACTTTGACATATTATAGCATACTTTTCAGCAACATAATAAGAGTCTTTCATTTATATAGCCAACTAGATCTAGTGACCATCGCGCTTGGCACAGTTAGGGTTACAACACATTTAGATAACGAGCTTTAGCTAAATGGGGATCCACTGATCAGCGAAGATCAGCAAAAAATAGGTACTGGGATAGGGTCTAAGGACTTAGCAGGCTTGCGCTGGCAAAAAGAGAGAGAGAGAGAGAGACAGTTAGAAGAAGATAGGCTAGTGGAGAGTTACATTGATATCAGTATATTTATAGACAGAATCTAGTTGTAGACTAGCTAGTAGACGGCTATTAGAATCGGTTTCTGTTTTATTTTTGTGCCCACTTTGTGGGTGGGGGAGGGGGGTCTTCTGTAGGTGTATCAGATTGTGTCACAGTGTGTGTGTGTGTGTATCGGTGTGTGTGTGTGTGGGTTAAGTTAAGGGGGGAAATAAATCATTTTATCTTACGAGTTAACTCGGACTCGAACTCTGTACACTTCAGGAACCCTGTAAACAAAAAATTTGTTCCCGGTATGATTTTTGTTTTTGTTTCATATTATCTGCTTTTGTTGGTATTTGGATATTTATTTAGTTTTGTATTGTTTGCTTCTAGCGAAAAAACGCAAAACTCGAAAACATAAAGAGAGATTTGAGAGAGATAGAGAGATCTTGTAAGTGGATGTCAGATTTTGGATTTTGGATTTTGGATATTGGATATTGGATTTGCTTGGCTGCCAATTTTGATATATTTTTTGTTCTCTTGTTCTGTTTTGGTTTCATTTTTTCTTTCATTCTTTTTTTTTTGTTGTCACAACTAAATACAAATTGAAGAAACTAAAATACTGGAAAAGAACATATATGCATATATATATCTATACTCTGTTTGCCATTCTCACAGGCTTGTCTGTGGTTGTGAGTGTGAGTGTGCGTGTGAGGGTGTGGGTGTGGGTGTGGGTGTGGGTGTTGTGTTCGAGTGTTTATGGGTGTATATTCGTTGTTGGTGTATATACAGCATGACTTCGAGGGCTCACAACATGTCACAGAGATGTTGATTGTATGGTACAATTCCTGCCTGTGCCAGTGAAGTTGATTGGTAAAAAAAAGGAAACCCAAACACAAAATGAAAATTATTTACAACTCAAAAATGGAGTTGCAAAAGTTCTGGACTTGAGCAACATAATTATAAAAAATATCTCCTTTTCCATTTATTTTTAAAACCAAATCAAAAATACTTTGGCTACGCATTGGTAGTTGCAAGAATTAGCCAGCCGCAAAAACAAATTTATTTTGCGAAAAATATATAATCGTGGGTATGTGGTAAACAGACAGTAGCTGGGCATGCTAAAGCAAACAATAAACAAGGAAAAAAAAAACTGACGAAAACAAAAAGGCATCGAAAAAAATTGAGTTTCTTGAGCCAAGCGCGCAGCGGCCCAAAAATTCCATTGCCTACTTTAAGGCTGCGCTGTCTATGTGTGTTCGCGAGTCCTTCTGTTCTGTTCTCCGTGTGTCTGTGTTTGTTTTCTTGGCTGTGTATGAGTGTAATAGTAAGGGTGAGAGAGCACGCGTGTCCTTTCTATTCTGCTTGTGACGTTATAAAGCCGCCGTGGCACAAACACAGACGCAAACACAATGCCAATGATAAATGATTGTTTTGGCCAAGTTTAAAATCTTTTGTCAGATGCCGACCAGAGATCAGTGGTTGTAAAACCAGCCAAAAATTGACGCTAGGTATTCTCAAAAGAGGAAACTAAAGCGACCCATCTGTATTATATTTCTATTAACAATCTCTTCTATAGTCTTTCTCCTGATAATATTATGATGATCCTGCAACCACCATCATAAAATTAAAATACATTCTGTCTGGTTTTTCAGCCCTAAATCCCACTGTGCCGACTCTCTTCAGCTTCTTCCTGCTGTCACGACCACAAGACTACTGTTTGGGGTGCCACAAACGGTCCACCAACTCAAGGCTAAAGTATGCGAAGGACCAACGGAAGGCAAGTGGGTAGAACGGACTTCATCAAATAGGTGGCACTGCCAGGCCAGTCCTTTTGTAGATTTCGTATGCAAATTGCTGGGACACTGGGATGCAGCTACAGCGGGATTTCAACTGTTTTTCGCCGCTATTCGGTTGAGGCGTTTATGGCATTGTTTGTGTATGGGTATGTGCTTGTGTCTTGTGGCTAAGGCTAAGGCTAAGGCTAAACAAAAAACAAAAAGCTAAGCCATGGAACCAAAAAAGCCAACAGCAGGAGGATTGAGAAAGCAGCAGCCAGGCAGTTGTGACTCAGACTCAGGACTCAAAGCCTGGGCTCGATTTAGATGACGCGGAAAAAAGGGGGAAAAAACACAAAACCAAAACACTCAAAGCTAAAAAAAAAACGAATTGGAGAATACACGATATTTATAAATAGTTAGATATATATATATATATGTACAGCATACATATATGCCTAGGAATATGTATGGTATGTGCCTAGGTATGTACGATAATGTATGAGACCCGGAGGCGCCGGCAGACAGAGGCCCATATTACCCATACGACCTGGTATTCTTTTTCTTTTCTTTTCTTTTTTTATCGATAATCTTTGGATTTCGATTCATTTCGACTGGTTACTTACGTGAGGGGATAGACCATGCCTTCGGTCAGTATCAGACTACAGCGCTGTCGCAGGATACCCTCCCACAGCTGGACTCCAATGATCCCGAAGATGAAGAACACAAAGAAGCACAGCAGCAGGACATTGCCGAGCATGGGTAAGGTGTCCAGCAGAAGCATCACCAGGATACGCATACCTATTGGAGGTTCAGAGGGTCAGTACTTGGAATTACTATTTTTTTATTTTACATTTTCCACTTACTCGGTATACGATTGATGGCTCGCAGGGGACGCAGCACGCGAATTGTCCGGATGGCAGTCAGATTGAGGTTCTCTACGTGCATCACGTACTCCAAGAGACCCGCCAGGACAATAAAGAAGTCCAGGCGATTCCATGAGTCCGCCAGGTAGGTGTTCTTGCCAAACATACCCATGGCCACCATTTTGATGGTCATTTCCAGGGCAAAGAAGGCGAAGATGATGTCGTCGAAGATCTGAAAAGGATGAAGTTGTAGAGAAAGGTTTTTAGGTTTTGTTAAAGCTCAACATTTATTTCCCAGCTAGCTTGGGATTTCTCTTGCTTTTAAACTTCTTTAACTTAACTTTGGATCATAGAAAATATTCTCTATACCAGCTTTCCTGCACCTTAAATCCCATTCGATTAATGACCCAAACCTAACGAACTAACGAGAGTTGATCAAATTAAAATTAGCAAAGCCCTCGCTTTGGCGTGGGGGTGGCAAGGACATATCAGGCGTCACACACATGCACATCGAAATGAGTTTGCCTTGGCGACATCATCATCATCATCATCGTCGTAGTCGTCGTCGTCAACGTCGTCGTCATCTTTTTCTTGTGCCCCGTGCAACGTCTTGTGTCAAGTAATTTGGGTTCTTTGGGGGCTGGTCGGGCCGGGATACATACATACCATACTATACCATATATATATGTATATATATATGGTTGGGATAAGGGTGGAAACGGAGGCGGTGGTAACGCCCACTTATGTCACTGACTGCGACTGCGGCTGTCGTTGTCATTTTGACTTTGTGCTGTGTGCCAATTTGGCGATGCCTTCTCTTGTCTTGTCTTGTCTCTGCCCGGTCCGTCCGTCCTGCCCCTCATCTTTATCCTCATCCACCTCCAGTTTTTCCGCAACTCCTCTTTGTCCTTGCCAGTATCCTGTCCTGAGTGGTTTGGTCTTTCTACTGTGTTTTTTTTTCGGGGGGTCCTGGCCCCGACTGTCGTGTTTCTTTACACTTGGCTGCGGCCGAAAATGTCGCCCGACTTACATATCATTTACAAACATTTTCGCACGTTGAGCCCGGCATTTTCTTCTCTATGCTCTGTAATTGCCCCACTGAACGCTCCACTTTCACCCCCGAACACCTCCTTCCAAAGAAAAAAAACATGTCTGCGGTGGTGCCGCCTAATGAGCCGAAGTGCCTCGTTGGGTGTCATCAGTGTGGCAGCCAGGAAGTGAGCCAAAAAATTGCTTAAATAAATGGCATTTAATGTGACACCGATGCTGACAGGCCCACCTGGGGAGCAAGGATATCCAGCGAAGAATGAAAGGTGGAGACCCAACAATGCGAGTCCTTCCCACATTTTGCACATCATTTTTTCTATCAAATTAACCTTAAGCCCCTGGGATGGATCCATAACTATGTCAATTATAAATATTCCACAGAAACCTTAATGTGTTGAAATGGAACTGTTATTCAGATGGGCTTAAGTGATGCTTCTCTTTTTGGCTTAAAACCATCTATTACTTATAATATTTAACCTTAAAAGGCTACGGTATATTATTTTACTCACCTGAAGGATCTTGCAGCGGTTCGTGACACAGGCATCGTCCACGCACGGCTGATACATTCCGAGGGTGATGCAGTTGAGCAGGATGACCAGGATGGAGACGCGCTCGAACCATGTGAAGGTTACCGAAATGGAGTCGAGTCCATATCTAAGTTAAGGGGCAAAACCAAAGGAAAATGGCAAAAACAAGGACGAGGCCAAAGGATGACGAGGGGGGGGTGGACTTTAGTCGTTGCCTACTTTTGTGCGCTGATTGAAGGCGAAACAAGTCGAGCGAAAGAAGCGGGCATGGGACGAAAGAGGGGGGGAGGGGGGCATGGTGGATAACAACTTGCAGTTGCCTCTAATGCGCACTCAAGTGCTTGTCAACTTGGCTGCCAACCACCCACATTTACCACCCATCACTGCCATCACTCACTCACCCCTCCGCCACCACCACCACCACCTCCTGCGGTTGTCGTTTGTCGGTCTCGTTTGGTATGCTCTCGGTTTTGGTTTCTGGGGTTGGAGGCTTGGGTCTCTTGGCTTGTGGATTCCCGACTCCCGGCTCCCGGCTCCCAGTTCCCAGTTTCCTGCACTCCAGCCAGCAAAATGCAGCAAATTGATGACAGTTGGCAGTCAGCTCATAACACTCGATCCAAATGCGTTTGGCCAAGCCGAGCCAAGGACATGCAGGACCTCAGCTGAATTGCAACATTGTAAAATGCTAGTTTTATATGCTTTCTGTGTTCTTAAAGTTTATCACTCATACGCAGTGTGGCCTTAGCTTAAATACTCATGTCTAGGATACTGCTTAAGCAGTTAAGAAATGCAAATGCAAATTCAACATGACTATTACAGAGCCAGCAAGAGGGGTTTAACAATATTACTCATACGTCGTGTGGCTCTGCCCAAAATTGTTCAAGATGGATGCACTTTTTGAATGAAAACAAAAGCAAAACTAAAATAAGCAAACAATTTAGGTTCTGATGGACCAACAATGAGCTAAGTTTGAAAGCCATAAAGCAAACAAGATATGTTTGCAAAGTTTTTAGTAATTTAAAAACTCACACCAAGTTTTGTAACACGTATACGCAGTGTTGTCTTGAATTACCTAAGGATATGATATCATTTTTAGAAGAAAATAAAAACAAAAACTAAATGAAATGAATGGAAATTTCTGGCAAAAAGTAATAGACTTTGAAGCCTAAGAAATATACGATTGCCAGTAATGGCTCTTAGAGGTCCAACGACTTTTTTCGTTTCTACATCAAATGGAACTCAATCCAGTGACTGGATTTCTCTCCACCTTCCCTATCCAACTCGTACAAAACCCCTGCGATCCACTCGTCCTTTTCACCACTTGTCGCCTAAAAGCCTCGCAGCTGCACTTTGGTTTTTGGGCCTGAGGCGAAAAAGAAAAACTGGAAAAACACAAACACTCGCACAAGGCCAAGTTGGCAAGTTGGCAAGGGGGATTTTCGAGCCGGCTTAATGCATGGCCAAATGAGCGCCAAGGACTCATTCTTTCGGCGAAGCAATTAAGGATCGAGAGCACACGCGCAAAATGGGCAAAAATGTTTACGCTATTAACGCACAATTAAAGATAAAACGTGGCGCACAATGGTCTGGCCAAAAACATGCTGGAAAAAAACAAAAACAAAAAAACAAGCAGAAAAGAAGCACAACCAAACATAATATCCCTGGGTGGTAAGGACGAAAAGCTGCCACAAAAAGGGCAATTCATTAGGGGGCCAAAGGAGATTGGAGCATATGCAGGCTGAGGGTCAGCGAATCGGTTCGGTGGCTGGTGGTCGGCGTTTCGGATTCAGTTCGGTTCGGTTGGGACCGCGGCCGTGTCATAAAAACAAATGTGAACAGGCCAGAGCCAGAGCCAGACGGCACAAAAGGCCGCGTCTGAAATGGGGGCGGCTCCAAAGGAAGGAGGGCGTTTCGGTAGACCACGCCCACTCTCCGCCTGGATAAATACTGCAGCAGCAGCAGCAGCAGCAGCAGCACAAATATGCGACAGCAGTAGCAGCAACATCGACCCTGGCGCATTCATTTCATTCAGTTGCCTCCGAGGAGGAGATGTAGGAGGAGGAGGAAGCAGGTATAGGGATGTCAAAAAATACATGACGATATATAAATGTTTTATCAAGTTGAGCTTTTTCATGCCATATTCAATATCGATATTGTACGTTCATCCTCACTTTTGAATAAACTAACTAGTGAATTATTGAAAAATGCAATAAGAAATTAATACGCCTCGGAATATAAATGTATAAGTTATTCCCAAAAGTCTTTCTCCAAAATTATATCTTAAATTCCCTCTACCTTTCATGGTTACTAAGCTAATATGTCTGAACGGAATATCTATCGTGTGGCTTTTTATATCGCACTTTTCCCGACTCTACCCAATATTCATCCCTAGCCAGGTGTGTGAGTGGTTGGCAAAGTGGGTGGTAAGGTCGGGACCCCGGGTATGCGCGCATTATTTTTGATTTGGCAACAGCCATGGCCCCCCCAAACCAACAGTAAACAAATTAAGTCGAGCGTAAAGTCGGCCAGCGGAAAGGGGGCGGTGCCATTAAAGGGGCGTGCCGGGTCAGGCAGTACAAGGCATGGGTATGGAAATGGGAATGGGAATGGGGACGCATGCAAGCGTGCAGAAATCGCAACAAATTAAAAGAGCCACAAACAAAAGCGAGAGCCCCGAAAGCAAAAGCCGAATAAGATGACTGAACATGCCAAATTGGAGGCGAGGCTGGGGGCTGGGGGCTGGGGGACTGGGTGAATGGAGACTGAAGAATGCTGAATGGCAAATAACGAATAACGAAAGCGAGAATGAGGCAAGCGAAACATGAAAAACAAACATTTAAAAAAGAAAAATAAAGGAAGAAAAAAGGCCAAAAAGTAAAAGTGAAAAAAAACTTGAGATAAATTGGCTTCGACAAGGAACAAGTTTTCCCTCAATGGAGGCGATCAGTTTAATTGGTTCTATGACATCAGAGGGCCATTCATTGAGCACTCATCCGTTGTGAGATATGTAAAACGAATAAGTTTTAAGGGAAATTTCCAAGTAGTGACTATAAAATAACCAAATTTAAAACACTTTTCCGAAAGGATGGTTTCTACTCAATGATTAGAGCCATAAAAGGTTCACATTTTCAACGCTGTGATTATTGGATTGCCTTCTTTTCCAAATCCAAACAGCAGAAATTAACAATTCCCATAGAGGAGGAGCACGACGGCGACCTGTTGTCCGTCCATCAACCGTATTCTCGCTCGTCCCTTTGACAGGACGTGGGGCATTTGTGTAATGAATACAATGCACGTACTCTGTGGCGGTCAGCGACGCTAATGGGCATTGGCCAAGAGGGATCCATCCACACCATGCTCTTAGTCCTCTGTCATAATTAGTTATGGGCGTGGCAGCGGTTTCACATTATCCAAGTAGCGACTTCTGCCGTCGCCCCTAACCTCCATGCTAATGATGCCTGCGTGTCCGAATAGCTGTATGTGGTCCTAATGGCGACCGCACAAGGATGCAGCCAGCTGGTGCTGGCAATGCTTCTGGTAACCGCCTGACCTCCACAGAAAACCCCCCACCGCCGCGCACTCAACTCCCTATTTGGGCTGCATATGTTGCACGTGCAGCGCACATTTCACGCTAAAAGCGCCGTAAAATGAAGGAGACAACTTTGGCCGAAAATGCATAGTCTCATATGAGGGATGTGATAAAAGTTGCATCGCTAATTTGGGTTGCAAAGTTGCAAAGGCGACCGGATGCCGTAAAAGACCAATGTCACTTCACAGTGAAAAATATCTTATGAATTCTCACCATGCTCGATAAAGTTCTTTCTTTGTCTTAAGCTTACGAAAGTAATAAAAAAGTGACATTAGTTTATGAACAGCATTCAAAATGAGTTAATGTAACCTGCTATCTTTAACCTGTCCATCATTAGTTTATTTTGATCACCAATGAGCTAAGAAATCCTCCAACTTGAAAGAAACTTCCCCAAACTAATATCATTAATTTTCTCTGCGTGCCATTTGATTACACTTAGCAGGGCGGTTTCAACGAAGGACCTCGATGGCCAAAAAAAAACAAAAAAAGCATGAAGGGAGCGTATGCCATTCGATATTGATACGCAAGGCCAGCTGGCGACGCTACGGCGGCTTTACCAACTTTTTGGCAAATGGCAACGCTGACCTCAGCTGCAGCCGAAGGCACGTCTGGGTCCCCAAAGACACGGGCGAGACGAGCGTCGCCATCGGAAGCGGAAACGGACGTGGAAGTGCAAGTGGAAGTGGGATGGCACAAGGAAGTTGAACTTAAATTAGTTTAGGCAAAGCAGTTTGATTGCTTCTCGAATGGAATTGAGATGCAAGCACGGCGAGTTGCACCGCAACAACTTGGCCACAAAATCACTTTAGCCCACCGATCTTAACTGAACTCAACTCCTCTCCCACGTTAAAATAATTGACGCTGGGGGAGGCATCGCATCGTAAACTTTAACAATAAAATCCATAAAATGTCAGCAAGATATAGAAAACAATACAGGATGATGGGGCGAAGGCGGTTGGAAAGCCGCGAACAATGGGGCAAATCAAAATTTATGGCTAACAATTAAGTGGCAAGTATCGAGAGAGCGATTACGTACTTGTGGCTCAAGGAAAAGAAAAGCAATGGATATGGCATATCTCAAGTGGGTAAATCGCAGCCATCATCGTGGCTTTCGTGGCTAAAAATAAAACCACTTCACTTCACCCACGACTTCTACGGGGTTTGTCACCGGAGAAACGCCTTGACGTCCTAAACTCAATTATCATAATTTACTTAGTTCCCCGCCCCTCTCCGAGAACCGCGGGCATAAATAAATATCAACGTCAGTCAATTTTAATTTCGCTCCAAGTGAAATGTGAAGTGCGCGCCAAGAAGTATGCAAAGCGATTTTTCATGCACATGTGCCACACATGCCACTTGATGGAGCCAAAGAAAATGAGGAGCTGGAGAGAAGTGGAAGTGGAACTGGCACTGCCAGATAAACAACATCGAATCGCCATGGTTGTCGTCTTCTTCCTTCTTCCTTCCGCCTCCGTCACTTCCCATATTCCTTATCCCACACATACCACTGATTGGCGCACATTATCCCCCAGCAAATGGATGGGGATGCGGCAAATATGAAAACAAGTCGGCAGCGGAAGGATCTGGCAACTGGGACTGGATATATATATATATATCGTACATATATATCCACTGGTTCCCTCTCTCAATGATGATGCCCATTCAGATATTTATTATTTATGCCCAGCGAACTCGCACACACACACACACGCGTGCCTTTTGCAACTGCTGACATTGTGGCATGAATTTTGCAACAGGCAGCTAAAAAAAAAAAAAGTAGCCCAGCACTTCGAACATGGGATATTCACTTTTCAAGGCTAGAGCTAGGCGTAAGGTAACTATGGAGAGGGCGGTTTTTCCCGCAGTTTTAATTAGCCTTAGTTTTTCATTTTTCAGATTTCTATCAAAAATCTATCCCGCAAAGCCGATCTAGGACCTATCATCATGCACTTATGAAAAACTCCGCGACTGGGCATCCTTCACTGCCGAAAATCATTCAACCTGCCCCGGAATCGAGTGTCCTCAGGCCTTTTAAAAAAAAATTTATATATACAACAAAAAGTGGAGAGAAAAGCGAGATGGGGAAAAAAGAAGAGAAAAATCAATAGGTTCGCAACGCACATCCTGTGAAATGTGTGACAAGGACACTCCGGCACACATTCACTCCACACCCCAGGGGTAAATTGCCAGCGAAGGACAATGGCAATTAGGGCATCCCTCCCCTCCCTCGTCAACTGTCTGTTTTTGTTTGTGCAAAGGATATGGATTGGTGATGAGCATCAGGCACCAGTTGCGTGGCCGGGTGTACTGCGTCAGCGCCCTGATGGAGATCTCGGGGAAACCCGGATACGGCAGATTCGGTTCGCCGGACGAACTCGACGAGCTGGAGGAGGAGGTGTGCGATGAGTCGCCATCGTCGGAGCTGCAACTACCGTTGCAACTAGAGGCGGTCGAAGAGCTAACAGCTCCTCCTCCTCTCGATCGTCCTGCGGCAGCGGCAGCATCGCTTAACGAGGAGGCACCACTGTGCCGGCGTCCTGTCCGCCTTCGCTGCACCTGCTGTTCTTGCTGTCGCTCACGGCGTTCATGACGATCTTGACGATCCTGACGATCCCGGCGGTCATGACGCTCGCTACGATCCTGGCGATCCTGACGATCCTTACCCTGATAGCGACGCCTGCTACTGCCACCGCCACCATCGCCTCCGGATCCCGAGGCATTCGATGTCTGGCGATGAGATGACCTTTGACCGCTGCTTGTCCGCTCCGCAGGATTAGCTGATGACTTCACATTGGCACTGGAGGAACTGGTTTTCCGCAACCTTTGGCTGCCCCGACGATGGCCACTGCCACCGGAACCGGCAACGTTGCTGCCACCGCCACCATCGACGATCACCGTCATGGGTGGCTCTTCGTTGGAATGCATTTGACTTACTCTGTTGGTGTTTCTGCTGCTGCTGCTGCTGCTGTTGAGCTTGATGCTGCTGCTGTTGCCGATGTTGCTGTTACCAATGTTGCTATTGCTGTTGCAGCCTTCTGTTGCTGCTGCCACGCGACGTCGCTGGCCATTCCTAGCTGCTACTGCTGCTGCTGCTGGCGGTGGCGCTGATGTTGCCGCTAATTTTGCTGATTGAGTTGTTATTGTTGCCGCTGCTGCCGCTGGCTGTGGCAGCATTTTCTGGTGGGCCAACTAAGCGAACTTCGGTCATTCCATCTTCCTGCCGATTTCTGGAAATAAGAGAAAAGGGGAAAGCTACGATTAGGAAAGTCATTAAAATCAAATATAAAATCATAACTGCACCATCAGCGTACATAACAAGAAATTTTCTTGAGGAGAAGACTTAAAAATCATTAATGCCCAGAAAACTAGACTATACTTTTTTAGATTTTATGAACATAATAAGAAATCTATGAGTTTAGTTTCCTGCTGATAAAATAACAAACTTAAGTACTTATTTGATTCTCTGTCTTAATGAGCTCATTTGAACTCAATTTCGTTGCCGACAATTTTCTTCTTGTGTACGTGCAAAGTTTCGAGAATTGATTTTTAATGCGATACTTGGCGTCAGCATGGGGCACCACCACCCACCCTTGAAGTCGAAACCACTCAACCGCCGTTCCCTGTTCCCCGTTCCCCGTTCCCCGTTCCCCGTTCACCAACATAATGAAGCCAAAAACATAATTTATACGCACGTGCGTTGCTTTTTGTAAAACTTGGTATGTGTTTCTCTGCGTATGTGTGTGTGTGTAGTACGTAAAAATAATGAGAAACACATTTTGTGCGTATAGACAAGAAACGTAGCATACATTTTGGGGGAGACCCTTGTGTGCGTAGGTGTATGCGTTCAATCATTAATTACGGCTTGTGCGCGTCTGTGTGTATGTGTTTGTATTAGGGTGAGGACCTCTAACACATTAACGTGCCAAAAAGTGCTTCGTTGTGGTTTCCCCCAAACACACACAGCCATAGAGGAAGACTTGCAATTGTGTGAAAATTGGCTCATTGATAGGCTGCCAAAGAAATGCCACAAAGGACGAGACTCCTATCAAAGGCTATTGAGATATCTGTTCGGATCTATGGAATCGATTGAGCAAACAGCACACTGTCTATATCGACGCTAATAGATAATGGCACAAGCTTATCAAACAATTTATCAAATCTATATAGAAACAAACAGCAAGTGTTTGTCTCTCGCCGACATTTTAAGTAAACGCATTTGATGAATGGTTTGCCAAACGAACGAGTATGAACTAATTGCAGGGAGTCTATTTATATATTGCAGATAATACAGATTTAGAATTTAAGTACTAGAAGATTTTTAATCCTTAAACTTCTTAAGAACTTTTCTAATTCAATCAATAGTACTTCCTACCCATTGTCTGTCTTTTGACCCCATCAGTTTTGACTTCATCAGCTGGAATATTTATAATTTGCCAGGACATGTATAGCAGCTGTACAGCTGTTGTTTTTAGTGTTATGGTTATTTGTAGGTGGACCCTTAGACTAGAAATCAAAATAATTAATCGTTGGCTGGCGCCATTTGTTTATCAGCCGGAAACGGAAGTCAGCGCCAAGACAAACAATAGCAGACCCACAAACACAAAAACAAGCACAAGCACAACATCAAGGCACGTGACAATACAAAAGTTACCATATTATTTGGAAAATGTTGAGCAGGCTTAAGGAGACAGAAATACACACACAGACACACACACACACACACACACGCAGGGACAACTATTGTAGGAAGCGAAAATGTAAGCGCCTTGTACAAAAACACATGGCACCCATGTAAAATCATACAATCAACTTTCTTGTGTGCAAGTTTCACACACACACACACGCACTTCGGTTGTGTGCCTTACACAGATATACATAATTAAACACAAACAGCGCGGCAAAGGCAACTTTGGTGTGTTGATATTAGTCAAAGGGAGACTAAAAATACAAATACACCAAGCACACGCACACGCACACGCACACGCACACACACTCTCGCATACACACACCGTACCCAATAACGGGATCAATGTGACATTCAAACATGTCAGATATTAACGCGATAACAATTTGAAATGGGTCAACAGAGCACAACATGAATTTATGTTGTAAGTGGACTCAAATCGTAGATATATATCAGTTATATATGTATGAGCGGAATCAAAGGGGGTTGAAAATTGCCTCGTTGAAATCCAAATACAAAATGTCGCGCGACCCCTGTAAAAAAGCTAAATCAAGTATACGCCCATGTGTCCGCCATTTAACGTTTTGGCCAAACGAGCGGGTTTATTGCGGGCATTCAATGGATTTTCCAGCCATTGTGCATTATTATATCGAATAACAAATTGCAAATTGTATTGAAAAGAATTAAAAAAAAAAAGAAAAAAGGATACGAGAGAGGAGGGGGGGACTAAAGCCATTAGTCAAATAAAATATCTGGCAACTAGCAGCTGTGCAAACAGCATTTGCATACCTTAACTTAATCTATTTGTTTTTCATTTACAAATACGTAACGAAATACGAAATAAATCTTTACAAATAGATTTTAAAGAAGAGGAATTCCAGTGTACTCATGTCTAAGGTCTTATAAGTTTTTCACTTATCGCCAACAAATTTGTTATTTACCCACACATAGTTGTCGGCTCACACAAGTCCGCCCCTTTCGCTGGAGGGTTAATGTAAACAACAGCCAGGACAACTCACTCTTCAGTCTGAGAGTCGGTGCCATGAAAATATGCAAATAAATTGTCGCTTATGTGGCAAGATATTTGCGCACTTCTCCATGGCCAACCCCCCCCCAAACCCCTCCATTTTTTGCGGCTGTCTGAGAATCTGCGGATATATAATTCACTTTTAAATGCAAAATCAAGCCGCTGTCATTGATAGCTGTCCCTGGAGGAGAAGAAAAATATACAGAGCGGGGAAAAAAATACCAGAAAAAAAAGACAGATAGAAAGTCAAGGAAGGAATCGCACGAAATAAGCATACGCAGCGTGGTACACACGTTGGCAAATAAATCAGAGGCAGCGCGCCTCGATGTCGCCCCTTGGAATGGAGATCCTTTTTTGTTTGAGCTCATAGGGGTCCTTCCTCGAGCCGAAGATTTATGCTCACCGCCCTGCTTTATGAGGCAGCGCCTGTCAGGGAAAGTCGCCGACATTAGCATAAAGCTGAGGCCAAAAAACGTGCCACTTTCTTTTCAGAGGGGAACAAAAAGAGAGAACCTTGAGAAGAACACAACTTAACTTTCAGTTATCAATGCCCATTCCGATTGCCATTCCATTAGGCAATGGTCAGTACAGCTTTTCCCCAGCTCAGCCTCACCTCTCCTTCGATTTTCTTTTACAGATTTTCCCTTTACAGAATCCCAGGCGGCTCTGCTGTATTTAACATTAATATTTATGATTGCTCATCTGTGTATAAATCGATGCTCGGTCTCGCTTTCGCTTTCGCTTTCGCCGCCTTCATTGCTTGCTTATTGCGCTGATTTTATTATTATTTTTATTTGGCTTGACTGGCATAAAAAGCAGTTGAAGGAGAAAACTCATTTTCATGTTCAGCAGCTGCCAGAAACACAGACAGATATATACGTTTATATATACCTGCTTGAGCTTGAGTTTTTTTGTGCTTCCATTTGATTTTCCAATTCAAGTGGTGGGCCCAGCGATTTCCATCGCTTTCCTTGCTTTTCAGCTTCATTGAGCGCTTTTGTTGCTTTCGCTTTTCTTTGGTTTTCTTTTTTGGTTTTTATTTTGTTTTGATTGCCCGGGACAGGAGACTTGAGCTTTACTTTCTTTTACTTTCCTTTACATTCTCTCCTTTCATTCACAGCCACACGTTGCTTATTGTCGTTTTAAATACGCAGACATAAAATTCATATTTTTATGCCTCACTTTTTATTAGCCATGAACGGTGGTCGGAAAATCCCGAATACAGAATCCTGAGCCCCGAATCCGGGAAACCAGAATCCAGGATTCGGAATTCGTATCCACCTGGCCCAGTCAGGTTGAGCGCAACCGTAAATTTGCCAGTAAAGCATCCAAAGGAATCCCTTCAACATCTCCAACGTATACATCGTATTACACACATATCCTGCTCTTTCTTCACTTTTTGGTAGTTCGATAAATTCCCAACATTTTTTATTTGCAACTTTTACGTAATACGGTTAATGGAATCTCTCTGTATGTGTGTTTATGTGTGTGTGTGTGTGTGTGTGTGTGTGTGTGTGCGTTTGCCTTGTTCATTATTCGATAAATATTCAGCATGTGAGCGAAATGCACGTCTTGAGCTTCGATTGGGGGCTGAGGGCCGCCAGGCGATTCAATTTGGTAATGGAAGCTGTAATCGTTGAAATCGACTTATGACCCCCAGTCTATCGTGCATGAAACATCCTTATGTGGTGACAAATTATCGCTCTGTCGTTCAATTAATCGATTAGTATTATTCATAGACTTATCGGAAGCCAGCAAATGGATTCCCAATATATAATATGTAGCTTTATGGAAATTAAAAATAATGATTATTAAAAAACACTTTAAAAAAAGAATCCATTTTAATAGACACTCGTTATTCGGTGATTTCATTAATTATAATTTTTCATCGTTAGCTTTCGTAAATGTCCCATAAAATACATTCTTAATTTGGTTTATGGCCGTAATTATCGACAGGCTTGGGCTTCGGTATTCTTCGTTTTTTTTTTCCCTCCCAGTTTTAATCACAAAAATGAGCTTAAATTCTTAAGCTTATCAGTATCGTTATGCATTATATTAAATGGCCTCCCTGGCGAATTGAACAATCAATATCGAAACGCTTTTAATCGAATTGCTGCAATTGAATTCGCTCAACGATTGCCGACGACTTAATTCGATCATTTTGCGTTGCGACGACGACGACGACGACGACGATGACGACGACAACTCTAGTGGAAATTCGACACCGAATCGAATTAAATTGTTCTTATTATTTGATTTTATTGACTTTTAACCGCACATTCCCTCGCACTGCCACACAGCCAGTTACCTTACATTTTCCAGCATTTCTGTATTTCAGTTGCAAATTATTGCGCATACGCCGCGTGGGCCACGTCGTTCAATCAACGTTTTCGTTTCGATTTTTTTTTTTTTTTTTTGGCGTCTTTCGCTTTTAAGTAATGAGAACGGCGATGGCGCCTTCATCTCCGCCTCATTGGCAGCATCTGTTAAATAATACACAAAATGGAAAGGTGGAA